ACGACAATTAAAACACTGGAAATCATTGGTGGCACTATACAAAAACAAATTGGTTTATATTATCACAACCTTCACCTTTCTGACATTCTGAGACCCAAACAAATTCAGCGGCTTCTGTCCTTTGATTTCATTATTCTAATCAAATAAGCCTTTACCTTGTGGCTTAAGAAGGAGGATAGAAATATCAGCATCACTTTGATGTTAATTACTATTGATTTACATGTATCCTGAATACAAGCTAATTAATAATAAATTGGATATAAACAATCTTGTTCTTCGCTCTGTGTAACATATTTTAGTTTTATTTGATGATTGGGACAGTTTGTAAATTCAATAAATAGATACTATATGTTACGTCCTGTACTCCTCAAGAATAGGAAACTCGTGTCAGGTAATAAAGACACGTGTTGCTGTGAAATATTAAGCGGATTTGTTCGGCAATTATGGATCATCATTGTGCTTAGATTGTCAACCTGTTGTATATTGTGCTGAAATGTCGTCTGCTTTTTGTCTTGTATCGAGCTGTTTGCAAAGGCTCAGCATTTAACAGACTAAAGATTTGAACTGCATCTACTATGTTCTGAAAATTGGCACACACGTATTTTTATTTCCACATAGTCATGACTACGTTAGAAACGTGATGCACGTGAAAAAAAAATCATTGCATTACCTCCCTTTAATTGCACTACTTGGCTAATTTCAATAGCTCAGTGATTCTATCCCAGTTGCTGCTCTTGCCTAAAAAAACATGCATTAACAAAAAATGATGAAAAACCTTGGAATTACCCAAAAACTAGTTTTTCCATGTTAACATTTGCCCTAACACCTAATTTTGGTGAAAAATTGTTGTTTTTTAACATTTTTTATTTTTGTAATTAACCTTTTACCCCATGAGCATATTGGGAAAAAATTGCCGTTTTCATTGAAAGCCTCCTGTAACAAGTTCAAACTGCTATGAAACTATGAAAAATGCTTCAATACTGATGAAACTTGGCACAAATGTTGACAAGACCATAGCCTCTGTAACAGCATGCTCAATCGTAAATTTCCTGTTACCATGGCAACGGGGGGACGTCTCAAAATTGCCAACAGTGTTTGGAGCCTAAGTAGGGGAGTTTTTCACTGTTTGAGGCCTCAAAAAAAAAAGGGGGGGGGGGGCAAAAAGCCGTCGAAACACGCTGCATATGCGGTCTTCTATACATCTGTATAGCTGGAAAGACGTCTCATAAGATTTTCAGTGCCGATGTGAATTTAAATCCAGGTTACTTTGAAATTACCTCCCTTTTTACGTAGGATAGTTCATTGTTATTACTATGATTGATAAGAGTGAAATATTTTCTTTCTTTCTCAAGTATTTTAATTACCATACTATTACACGCGTTAAGGTAGACTGACTTATAAACAAGGTGAATTTAAAACAATAAATTCCCATAAATTAATGACAAATTTGTTATGCAAATGACGGTAATTTATTCACTTCTGTCAAACATCCCTTGCCATGTTTAATTCCCCTTAAAACTAACTCAAGTGAAAATGTTAACGTGTTTTCGAGTGAAATAAACGTGTGGTAACGGAATGAGGTAAGTTTAGTTTAGTTTTAAATTTATTAAAAATTATGTTATTGTTATGATTTTGTATGTTGCCTAACATTGAGAAGAAGAAAAAAACGGAAAAAAAAAAACAAAACAAATTAAAACAATATTCAGCGGTCATCTTAATATTTTAGCATAAAATAATTGTAATTAATCGATGCTTTTTCGAATGGGAAATAATTTGTTTCAAAGGTATCAATATTGTAAACAAAGTAGTATTTTGACTTCTATACAAAATACTAAATCAATGTAAGGCTACTGAGAGCTCGTATATATATATATATATATATATATATATATATATATATATATATATATATATATATATATATATATATATATAATATATATATATATATATATATATATATATATATATATATATATATATATATATATATATATAGTGGAGAAATAATATTTTGGTAACTGTAACTGGACACCAGATATCGAATTTCTTTGGCCAATGAGTAACTTTTTGTTAACTGTAACTGAACACCAAAAATAAAAACTTTTGAAAAATGAAAATGTCAGAGTGCATTTTCAAATGTAATAAGACTTAAAATAATATAATTCCTAATAAAAAAAACAGTATGCAATGACTAAGATGTATTAATTCACAGCTTTACGCCCAAATGAATTATTTTCTCGACTGATGACCTTTAAACACGTTTCATACGGTATCGCATAACATTTAGCAAAACCATGACAATATCATTATGAAACAAGCATTAATTAAATGTGAAGTAACTGCATATAATGCTTAATTGTTAATATATAACATTTTACTACACGTATTGCAAAACTTGTAAATTGTGGTTTCAACAGCTTTCCAACAGTTTTTCATCAAAAAAGTATATTGTTTCAAAAAGATAAAATAAAATAAATAAAATAAAATAAAATAAATCGATGAATGAATGAATGAATGAATGAATAAATAAATAAAACAGACTGCTGTCCGACACAAAGGTCGGCGTTAGATTCTAATTGCTAAATAACAAATATTATGTTCGGTTCGGTATAGCGAGTATTTTTTACGGTTTAGGAAATAAATATGCATTCGATATAACCAACTTCGAGTTGACACTCACTTTTTCACTTAGTCATATGCTATGTTTTGTTCTCGTATTTTATGTAAGACAAATGAAGAAATTACTATAAAATCTGAGTGAAGTCAGAATAAATGACCATAATGCCAAAAGGCAAAGAACGTAAATACAAAGGAAATTATGCTAAAAAAACAAAAACATACTTGGTTTTGTTTATTTTCTTGTATAGTTACGGAGTCAGACGGTACTTGACGAAATAAAGTAAAGCTGCAATTGAATTGCATGTTTACATTAGTTTATGGATTTTAGTCAAACTTTATTAGCAAATAGGTCGTTATCAGATATTTACAAGTTGTCACGGATCATTAAAATGTCCCTGTTGCCCAGCTTCACCTTGTATAGCAAATGTTCGCTGTCACATGAAACAAATCTCGCCGGTAAGAAATAACTAAAAGGGAAAACCGTCGGCTATATAATTATAGCGCTAACAGGTGTGTGTTGTTCACCTTCTTTTCAAAAGCATAGTTATAAATGATGGACTAATTAAGACAGCTTTTTTTTATATATTTGCTTTATCTAATTTCTTGTCGTGTTTGTGTAAAAGAAAATAAGACAATTAACATGGAATTGGATTTACATGGTATGTTAAAGTTGTTTTTTAATGATACCTGATCGTGTAATTTTGAAAGTGAAACCATAAATAAGTAAATAGTTGTTTAAAGTGACTTTTACATACATGTACTATAGAGGATATTAAACGAGTGTAGTTTCCGTTGTAAATTTATTAAATCATTGGATAAAACAATATTAATCTTGACCTCTGCATTTGTACAAACTAATTTGCACAGCCTAACGGGCCTATAAGACAATGGAACATTAAAATATAATATTTGCAAACAAGTGCTTTTTGTAACAATGGAGTGAAATAAGCGCCGCTCAAAGCACGTAGAATTATATATTTTTCAATTATTTTTTTGAAAAATGAAATAAGCAGTTTGTAACTATTTAATGACCACGAATTAAGTAGCATATTTACCAACATCGTGCAGTAAAAAATACTTTGCAAAATGCCCTAGACGATAGACATATACATGGTGTGGTCATATAAAGTTGAAATATTATGTAAAACATGATGACATAGTTATATACAAACTGGTTTTAAATACACACGCTTAATAAATCCATATATGCAAATTAGATGAATGTTATATTTGTCTCATTTCCGATTGAAGATACAGAGTAAACGCCAGATGTAATATTTTCATATTAAAGTGGCGTATCTGATATTTTACATGCTACGTCTAACACCTGGTAGTATTGTATGGCATTTTTTTTTGTTACCGAACCTCACTACTTGTATTTGAGGCACCTATTTACCATGTTGCCAACATTTTGTAAATGCAAGGGCGGCCATTTCCTGAATCATCGTCGTTTTCACGTGTGTGGCTCTTCAGATGTTTTGACATTTAATGAACGATTAATATGTGTAGAATGACCTCCTCTGAATAAGGGCCATGTTAAGTTTGAACATCATATAAATGAGTTATCTTTTCAAACGGTTCCTCGGAACTACTTTATTTCACAGCGTAACCGGAAGTGCGTGTCGTCAGGTCGATGACTTCATATTAACAATCTCTGTAATATTCACTGTCCAGACTCCTGTATTCAAAAGCTCATGTTTTTACTACAATAGCAATTTATGCCCTCTTTAATAGTTCAAACTTTCCTCTTACGTAGTCAATAAATATGACCATGTTCCAGGTTTGCTCTTTGCAAAAATATTTATAAAGGGAAAAGTTTTCGTAAATTGATGATATAAAATGAGTGATGTACATGTATTTTATATCATATTGATATATCTCTGTACTTTCAATGACCAAGATTATAAATTTTATTATAGACCTGTGAAGATGCATAAAAGACGGAATGTGGCACATGGTTTACTATAACAATTTATTTTTAGTTTAACGTAAAGGATAGCCTCCCTTTCATGTCTTTTTTATTAAACCCTTTCTGTGGAACTGTATTTCTGACTGCACGGATGCTCTATTCTAGCGGCAAAAGCTAATCAATTTTGGTCCCAGAAGGTAAAAAGATAAGCATTGAAATCACTTTTTGTTCCAGAAGGTAAAAGAATAAACATTGAATATGCATTTTATACAATACGCCTTTCCAATCTGAGATTTTATTAAGGACTCGGGCGAAACCATTTAATTTTCCCAAATAAGATATCAATTGGAACTCTGATGAAACTTTACAGTAATACATTGGGCGAGACCTGTAAGCTACAGTGAATTAGTTCATGAGATTGAAATAAAAATCTTTTTAGATTTATTTGTTTCCCTTTTTTTCAGGAAATGTGACATGATAAAGACAAAAGTGTGATTTTCGATTGTGTTAGCGCATACGACATTTTAACATTTTCGAGATAGTTACTCCAGATAGTTACTCTACGATGACTTTATACCAAGGTGGACCGACTGAGGGTGAATCAATAGAACATCTTCATCATAAAGATGAACGTGATGGCGCAGAGTCGTCTGCTTCCGTGTACAGTAGTCAGCAGGGACGCGGGAAAACTCTCGTGTGCATCACATTTATTTTAGAACTATTTATCTTAGCTGGAGTGATCGTTCTTGAATATTTTCTCAGGTATGACACAGATAATTTTTTTTCATTTTTACAAAACTACACCATGGCATTAAACACCCTAACTTAAAAACATAACCGGCAATTTTAACAAACTATATAATGAAACTATATATCTGCTGCAAAAATTATTGTTTCAGTTTGGAAAAGAATGTCCCAAAAATGCCTGTATAAAAGATGTACATTAGTATATATCCTTAAAAGTGAAGGTCCATGCCCGAAATCATTGCTAAACATAATATTGTTCTCCTGTTTACGTGTTATATTCATGTGTGTTCAAGTCTTTCTATGGTACAATTTATTTGAAAATCAACCATAAGATTATGGAAACTATATAACTTTACAGTTAATAAATTTCATAAAAATTTTTCATTAGATATAGCTTTATATCTTTTATTAAGTTTAACACTGCGCGAAACCTATCTACCAATTATTTTAATGACATTTGTTTACGTCGTCTTCATAAGAAATTTTCAATTGATTTGTTCAATTTCTTAAAATGTTAGTAGTCTAATTGTGTGTTTCTGTCATGCATAAATATCATTTTGCTGTAAGGACTATTTTTATTACAATTTTATGTACATGTATGTTTAAATGTTTTGTCACGACAAAACCAACAAAGTGCGTTTGCGACCAGCATGGATCCAGACCAGCCTGCGCATCCGCGCAGTCTGATCAGGATCCATGCTGTTCGCTATCAGTTCCATTACTTGTAATAGAGTTGGTTAGCGAACAGCATGGATCCTGATCAGACTGCGCGGATGCGCAGGCTGGTCTGGATCCATGCTGGTCGCAAACGCACTGTGTTGGTTTTGTCATGACACGGCTCAAATGATTTGTCATTGTAGGTGGACGAAAGTTTTTCCCATCCGGAAGGTGAATTTCACGTGCAGTAACCCGGAGATCTCCTACTCCGAGGACGACCCGTCTTTCTCTACCTTCGCCTTTAATGCCATCATACCAACCGAGATAGTATACTCCCTAAGTCTGTGTGTACCACCCTTTGTGGTAAGCCATCATTTCATCCTTTCATCACTTTTTTTATATTACGGTATTGTCCTGTTATGAATTTAGAATTGAACAACCGACGGTTTAGTAAGTTTTTAAACTGCACACCGACATTGCCAAAATTATATGACGACTTTCTAGCTTCGATAAACATATTAATTTAAGCTCGATTGCGAACAAGTTCGTGTAACTTATATTAATCACTTTTGAGTCCGCTTCGTGGAACCAACCAGTACTGGTATCATTTGCAGAAACATGGTCGTGACCCGATTAAGGCTCGAACCCATGATCCATTGGGTTGAGAGGCAGACACCTTAACAACTAGGTCACCGCTCCTCTTTTCAGCTTTACTATTGGAGGAAAACATTCGGTTTCCCTTTGTGCATTATTTCGGGCACGTGCGGAAATTTGAGGAGAACCAACGGCATTACGTAGGGCCATTTTTATCAGTGTCATAGACTTTAGTTTACGGAAATAAAATCACGTAAAAGAGAGCTGTGACTGGTCCTTGATCTGCTGAATTTCATAAAAGAACTTGTACGTCTTCATTTTTGAACCAGTCCATAATCAATCTTAGTTTTTTGGGATATCATGATTTAGGGTATGTGCCTAAAAAGACTGCATGAAGGTGCAGACTGGCCTGGTTCTAGCCTAATGGTAAAGACCAATCTGATTCTGTTCTGGCAATGAAAGAGCTATGTGGTGGAAGTGTTGGTAGTTTTCACTCCGGATCACGGCAGTAAGCCACATTAAATATGCCAGTGTACAGTTCAGTCACCGCATCGTTCCTGGGCAGGCTGTCAAGCCGTTTACAAGCACTAGTTGCCTTCACTCTCGCAAGAAATTGATAACATGTACATGCCAGAGCAGAGGTACAGTACAATGACTGTTGACAGGATTTCATGATCAATGAAAGCGAAAGTGACCTGCACCATCCGGGAATCGAACCAGGATCGCCCGATTCACATTCCAACGCTTTATTTATTGTTAAACGACGAACTACTTTTGTTCATCAACTGTATGTCATGTATGTATCTATATTGTTGTTATTTATTCAGATGTTGATAGGGGAGATTGCGGTATGGGCCTTCACTGGTGACAATCAAAAGTCTATACGTGTATGCTGTCAGTCATGTAACGTTCCACAAGTCTGGAGACGGCTGTTCAGATTTGTCGGTAAGTTGAATGATTACTTTCATTTTGTTCTTTTTGATCTTCAGAAAATTGACTAATTAAAAACTTCTTATTCAAGTCATTGTTCGTATTGGCATTCTTCATTTTTTACCTATAAATAAATACCCCATTTTAACATATTAATTGGGGGTTAATTTCATTTATATTTTTCTTCATTTGAAGTTTAGCTACAATTCTAACACTCCTCGTGATGGGCTTTATATTATTATTATAACCTCATGACTGGTCTCTGTAAAAAAGAGAGAAAGAGTTTGACGCTTTAACAATTAGATTACTGTTTCCATGTTTCCCAAAACCCATTTCTAGTACATTGTAAAAAGACATGCATATAATTGGTACTTTTAAAGCTCTTCATAATTTTTCAGTGTAAAAATGTGACATTTCTTTCATCAAAAGTACATTAACATTAGGTATGGCTGTTAAGGTACCTTGATATTTTTGTTATTTTTCATGTTTTCTAGGAGTATACGTCTTTGGCTTGGTTACGCTGATGATATTTGTTGACGTAATTAAAATGATCACCGGTCGTCTGCGACCCAACTTCCTGGAAGTTTGCCAAGTGGACCTTACATTGTGTGCAAAGAATGGCAACATTGGTGGAGACGAATTGTGCACTAACGAGGACGATATAGAACTCAGACATGCGCGGTAACTCCCCTAAAATTGTCCCTAGTTTCTTTTAACGTTTTCATGTATACATGTATTTCCCCATGTAAAATTGCAGACGACAAACTTCAAATTAAAGTAACATACATTTTATGCAATAGATTGTTTTATACCGTTGAAAATAGCATGCATGCAGCTGCAGTAAAGAATAATAGACAGGACTGATTTTGAGAATTTGGGTCCCTATAAGATGCTAGAGGCATTTTGTAGTACAAGTGGTATCTTGGTATTTTACCTATTTAAGGTATGCTGAATCCGATAAAGGTGGATACCAAATTGAAAAACTTGATCTTGACCATTGAAATGGCCATCTTAAATGACCACTAAAATGGCCGCCAAATTTCTTTATCATAAATGGATGACAGATCAAATAAAACTTTTAAGGAAAGGAAAAGTCTGAAATTTGTCACAAAGAATGTTTAGGTAAAAATAAATTAGACACCAAAACAGAATTAAAAAAAACAAAAACAATCCAATAGGGCCGAAAAATCCAAGATGGCAGACATTTTTCTATAGGCCAATATAATAGAAGTAATATTAAAGATAGAACTACACTACACTCTTTCCTGCCCTATCTGCTAGATAAAGAGCTTTCATGTATTTTATCTGGCACTCTATGCAAGCATATAGAGTGGCTACAGCGTGAGGAGGTTAAAACGTGTGCATGCAAAATATACATTAATTAAAGGCACCTTTCTCTGAGTACTTTTGGGTTTTGGTGTTCGTTTTTCCGTTATCGGTCGTCGTCTTCGTTCTTCTGTTATCGGTTCTCGTCGCATTTCTCTGCTGTCAGTTCTTCTGTTATTGGTCGTGACTTTCGTTCTTCTGTTATCGGTTCTCGTCTCTGTTTTTCTGTTATGTGTCATCGTCTTCGTTCTACTGTTATCGGTTCTCGTCTTCGTTCTTCTGCGTTCTCCTATCATCCGTTATCGTCTCTATTCTTTTGTAAACAGTTTTCTTGTTGTCAATTCTTCTGTTCTTCCCGTTTCTGTTATCGATCCCTGTCTTCAGTCTTCTGTCATCAGTCCTCGTCTATGTTATTATGTTATCAATCCTCGTCTCCGTTGTCTAGTTGTCATTTCTTCTGTTATAGTCTTTGTTCTTCTGTCATCGGTTCTCGTCTCTTTTCTTCTGTAATCAGTCCTGGTCTCAGTTTTCATGTTGTCAATTCTTCTTACATCGGTTCCCGTCTCTGTTATCGATCCCCGTCTCCATTTTTCTGTCATCAGTTCTCGTTTATGTTATTCTGTTATCGGTCCACGTATCTATTTTTCTGTTATCAATCCTCGTCTCCGTTGTCTTGTTGTCAGTTCTTCTTTTATCGGTCCCTGACCTGTTCTGTTATCCGTTCTCGTCTCCGTTCTTCTCTGTTCTTCTGTCATCGGTTCTCGTCTCTGTTATCACTCCCATTTTCCATTCTTCTTTCATCGGTCCCCGTTTATATTTTTCTGTTATCAATCCTCGTCTCCGATGTCATGTTGTCAGTTAATTCTTTTATTGTTCCCTGTCTCTGTTTTTCTGTTATCGGCCGACCGTTCTGTTGGCTTATTGTCAGTTCTTCTGTTATCGGTCCCTGTCCTGTTATTTTGTTATCGGTCCTCGTCTCTGTTGGCTTGTTGTCAGTTCTTTTGTTATCGGTCCCTGTCCTGTTCTTCTGTTATTAATCATCGTCTCTGTTGGCTTGTTGTCAGTTCTTTTGTTATCGGTCGACGTATATATTCGCTTGTTGTCAGTTCTTCTATTATCGGTCCCTGTCTCTGTTCTTCTGTTAGCGGTCCTCGTCTCTGTTCGCTTGTTGTCAGTTCTTGTCTCCGTTCTTCCTTCTGTTATCGGTCGTCGTCTTCGGTCTCGTACTTTCGGTACTTGTTTCCTGTTCTGTTAAGGTCTTCTCTTGTTCTATCGTTGCCGTCATTATGTGTCGATGTCCTTGTTTTGTCAGTCTTGTAATCATTTATTCTTTCAGTGGAGTAGCGGGGGATCGAACTCACGACCCCTTGATTTGAAGGCAGACAGTGTTACCACTGCACCATAGCGCCCGCTCTGAATAATAACCATTTTTGAAAATCCTCTATACATTAAATACTATTTCAATGGCTAACAAAAGGTGTATTACAATTATATTTTAACACCTCTACTATGTAACCAACCCACGTGACTTTTATATATGGTCACCATTTTTTACAAGTAATATTTGTATAGATAACTTTGCTGTTACTTTAAGATATCCTAGAAATTTATTGGAGGGTACCCGGAATGATGTGATAATCTTCTTGTAGAATTTTCTCAAAACCGTGATTGAATTCCAAAATTTTCGAGAGCTGCCATGGTATAGCAAGCACACGTAGCAATCTCCCGGTTTCAGACATTTTATGACTCGATGAAAATATGGTGTTGTTATTGTTGTTGTTGTTGTTTTTAACTTTAACTTTAAATAGTCACTTATTTTTAAACAAGATAGTAAACATTTGTTGTTTTCTGTATTTTTGTTAAGAATATAATAAGTATACACTTCTAAGTTTAAGATGACTTTTTAATATTATCGATTATCCATCGTATACCTGAATGCAGTTATAATTGAATCTAAAAAATGAATTGTGCAGATATTATTTTCGGCAGAAAACAACAAATACAAACAAAACTTAATACAAAACTATAATTCTGCCTGTAGTTGAAATCATTATTTCAGTAGAAGATTTTATGCGTACCTTTTTTACTTGTTTTAGGACATCGTTTCCATCCCTACGAGCTGCAATGACAGGTTACGCAGCTATATATCTCTCCGTATGTATCTAAATTTCTTCATGTACATTTAACAACTTAACAACCTGATAGTTTGAAAATTCTTTGATCTTAGAAGAGAGACAAATATAAAATTTCCCTTTTTGAATATTTATCAATATGTTATGGGCATTAAAACTACTTTCTTACTCCGGCTCCGTCAGTGTTATATGAGCCGTGTCACGACAAAACCAACATAGTGCGTTTGCGACCAGCATGGATCCAGACCAGATCGCGCATCCGCGCAGTCTGATCAGGATCCATGCTGTTCGCTTACAAACTCTATAACAAGTAGAGAAACTGATAGCGAACAGCATGGATCCTGATCAGACTGCGCGGATGCGCAGGCTGGTCTGGATCCATGCCTGTCGCAAACCCATTATGTTGGTTTTGTCGTGACGCGGCTCATATTACGTCTTGCCAAGTTTTCACAGCCCTAAGTTATTGCAAGCACAGCCAAGAAGTCCAGCGTTCCAGATTTGAGCCACTTTTGCACAGGTTGAGTTTGCCAGTCGCAATAATAGTTATCACACTATAAAAGTAAATTAAAAAAGATTGATTTACAAGTTTAAAACATTGATAATTCTGTTTTGTTCCGTCTTACAGATTTATATTCACGGTGCGTTGCGCACGAGGTCAGTGCGTGTACTTCGTCCATTTCTGTCATTAGTGTTCACAATGTTAGCACTGCTGTGCGGTTTGGCCGAGCTTGGTCTGAACCATAACTTCTGGACGGACGTCGTGGTCGGTTGGGCAATGGGTATAGCCATGGCGATATATCTCGTAAGTTTTTGTTGTTTTTTTCCATTCAAATGGCGAATTTCATCAAGAAAGTAAAATTTGCATAATTTCTGCATATTGTTGAATCGAAAAAGCATGTGTACTACAGTAGGAACATAGTAATTTACATGTAGTTGCATATGGCGTAGCAGTATATCCATAATGCATAATGTTAATAAATGATAGCGCATAAGCATAATGTTAGGAAATTCGGCGGAAATAGTTAAAAATCAGAAATTACTTAAAAACCGGAAGTCTGTGTTAGGAAGCCATATTGGCTCGAAAACCCGAATTAAGGTGAAACAGGAGTTAAAAAATCAGTAAGTTAGTCAGTCAGTTCAGGAAATAAACCGTTTAACTAACATACAAAATGGTTAATTTACAGGGTGCCTTTGTGTTGTATAATTTCCGAGAGTATGTCTCTGAGAAAAAGATGATTCGTCTGCTGCACGGTTTCCTTGTTGACCATCAACTGCTGAACGAAATAACGAGAGACGTAAGTTTACACTCATAATTTGTTTTAATTGAATAAATTTCATCCTCCAAGAACTTTTTTTAACTAAAAGAATATGCGCGCTGTACATTTTGGCCTCACCTTTTTGCCTTTGCACTATTTTGATTAACAATTTTGTTTTTTATGGTTACTCTTGAAAATAACTTTCAAACTTGCATTGCTTAAAACATTATATCCTATTCTTTTGAATGATTTTCATTTGCTTAGAAGTCATAATTAGTAGAGTATATACAAATATGTTTTGTTGGTGACAAAATTGTCAAGCGTCTATCGTCCAATATATTTTATAGTCAACATAAAGTTTATTAGTAAACGTGTGTAAATATAAGCTAATTATTATTTTTTCTTCCGAAACATGCAATTTTATTCACATTTTTCCTCATTTTTTCACGTGCACAATATGTTTCAGGGCAAGCTGCGTTTGTTTCCGTTTCCATTTCACATTCCACGTGCACATACGTCACGAAACTCACCTTACCAGAAATTCGAAGGAATTAAAACGCAAAACCCGCCAATTCCTTTGTATAGTGAAATGACAGAACACCCTGGGGACAAATATAAGGACCGCCCTATACCAAGCCCCGCCTACCAGGATGATCAGAGATTGTCACATTTATAAACAGTGCTCCATTTTTACCCTCAACATGCTGAATTTCTTAATGGACCTGCCAACTTATAGTTTTAGGATTTTAGATTTATCAGTTTTTGTGAATAATAAGATGTTATTTTAAGTTAGTCAGACAACAGTATAGAGCCTGGTCGGGCTGCACAGACAGTTCTGGTTCTGTACTGGTGGAAACGACTAGTTTTTCGGTTCAAGGGGATAAGAGTTACGATGGATTTCATAGTGCTTTGTTTTAATTCAGAATGACTGAGATCAAGATATAATATGCTAAAAACCCAAAGTTTTCACACGAGTTAACTAGGAATATTTTGACATGGAAGGAGGTCTGTTCTGACAGATAGTTCATATGCATGCATATTTCAACGAAGTTTTACATATACAAAATAATTTTAAATGCGGAAAAAAGTTAGAAATTTATGGCTCCAAGTCTCTCAATTGATATACAAAAGCTGTATTTTCAAAACAACTTTTACTGATATTTTATACAAAAAAGGGAAAGTGACGGGAGTAAATTTCCCACTTTCCAGTGATTTAGTAATATGTACCAGGGAAAATCACATTACTATTCTAAGTAAACGTAATACATACATATTCAAAGTGTTTGCTCTGTCTGTCTATAGCTGGGACCGATAGGGATTGATTTTCATTAAAATATATGATATTATTCGTTAAATATATGCAAAAATCCCATTTTGTAAAAAACGGTTCGCTTTAGGTCCGTATTTAATGTCATCTCTGGTGCTTTAATATTGTTATAAGCATCTTTGAACAGAGGTAATTATTATAATTTGCAGCATTTGATTTTTTACAGACATCATATGATTGCCTTACATATGTCTATATACATTTATTTACTTTAAGAGTGTTTGCTTTTTAGTACACATGTACACTGATATTATTTTGTATGATTGAACAATGGCGATGTAAGCATGCATGTTCATTTATTATATTGGCATTGAATATACCGTGTTAAAAGTAAAATATGCTTTGAAAAATATAACCATTCAACCGGCTTTCCGGATATTTATAAATTACATGTATTAAAATAAGAAAAAGAAATATTAAAAGTCCTGGATATTTTGTAAATTTGTTTTCTTATTTCTTTTGAGCAAAATCATATAGGCCTTATTGATATTCTAGGCCATATAGTTTCTTGATGCAGTTGTTATTGTTTGAACATAGAAATGTACATATGTTGATGTTCAATATTTCAATGGGTATTCAAATAATTAAAGAAAACACATGTGAAATGTACGCTTAGAGAGAAACAGTATATATGTACATGTAGAATCATTTGCTATAAGCCAGCAAAAAGATTTCACTTTGATCTGGGAAAAGGTTCTTCATATGTCTAGCTTTTATAAATACCGGGTAACTTATTTTCGTTTTGCATATCATATTCTTGCGCAATGGTGCTACTTTTATTGCAGGGTAGCCAGAGATTATCCAACTATTTTAAAAGTCGTAGAGGAAAAATGTTAAAATATTCTACAGCAAGAAATGTATTCAAGAAATACCCTATTCAGAAGTTATATTGGCCAGGGGCAAACGTTCGAAGAATCAGCCATATTGCACAGAACCTCAGATCAAGCGTCTCTGATGACGGAATGAGATTTCAAGCGTTTCCGGTAAGAGCACGCGACAGACAAATATGTGCAGAAGACAACAACAGCATTGATAACATTTTTGGAGCAATATCAAATATCGATATGACAATAACATCTGAAAATAAGATATAAGAAGCCGTTTTATCTTTTTTCATCATTCGAAGTTTTCAATAAAAAATAAACTTCATGTTAGACCTTCTTCATGCACAAAAAGTTGCAGAAACAATGAATAAATGAAATAAGGTTATTGAATTGAAAAGGTTACTAGAATTGAACTCTTGTAATTTATTATTTATTTATTATACCCCCAGAAACGAAGTTTTTTTGTTTTGTTTTTTTTTGGGGGGGGGGGGGGGGGGGGGGGGGGGGTAATAGGAGTCACCCGGTGGTCGGTTGGTCGGTCCAGACGTCCGTTGCATTTTCCTTGTCCGGAGCATAACTTGAAGACTAATGGTTGGAATTCAATATAACTACATACAATGGTCAAGCACATTGAGAGGAAGTGCAGTGCACAAGAATCATAACTCTATCGTGACTAATTACAGAGTTATTGCCCTTTGTTACTTTTCCTTGTCCGAACTACTGGTTGGAATTAAAAACAACTTCACACAATAAGGGGAAGTGCAGTGCACAAGAACCATAACTCTATCTAAATTAATTACAGAGTTATTGCCCTTTGTTACTTTTCCATTGCTTTCTTTTGTCCGGACCATAACTTGAAGACTAATTGTTGGAATTCATTATAACTTCATACAATGGTCAAGCACATTGAGAGGAAGTGCAGTGCACAAGAACCATAACTCTATCTTGACTAATTACAGAGTTATTGCCCTTTGTTACTTTTCCTTGTCCGGGGCATAACTTGAAAACTACTGGTTGGAATTAAAAACAACTTCATACAATTGTCAAACACAATAAGGGGAAGTGCAGTGCACAAGAACCATAACTCTATCTAAAGTAATTACAGAGTTATTGTCCTTTGTTACTTTTCCATTGCTTTCTTTTGTCCGGACCATAACTTGAAGACTTATTGTTGGAATTCATTATTACTTCATACAATGGTCAAGCACATTGAGAGGAAGTGCAGTGTTTAAGAATCATAACTCCATCTTGACTTATTCCAGAGTTACTGCCCTTTGTTACTTTTCCCTTGTCCAGAGCACGACATGAAAACTACTGGTTGGAATTCAAAACAACTTCATACAGTTGTCAAGCACAATAAGGGGGGGTGCAGTGCACAAGAACCATAACTCCATCTTGACTATTTACAGAGTTATTGCCCTTTGTTACTTTTCCATTGCTTTTTTTGTCCGGAGCATAACTTGAAGACTAATGGTTGGAATTCAATATAACTTCATACAATGGTCAAGTACATTGAGAGGAAGTGCAGTGCACAAGAGCCATAACTCCATTTTGACAAAATACAGAGTTACTGCCCTTTGATACTTTTACTTGTCCGGAGCATAACTTAAAAACGTACTGGTTGGATTTCAAAACAACTTCATACAATGGTCAAGCACAATAAGAGGAAGTGCAGTGCACAAGAACTATTACTCCATCTTCAGTATTTAGAGAGTTATTGCCCTTTGTTCCTTTTCCTTGTCTTTCTGGACTTATTACAGAGTAATTCAATAAAACTTCATCAATGGCTAACCACATTGAAAGGAAATGCAACATACAAGAACCACAACTATCTTTAATTGCCACAACCATAACTCTATATTTCAATTCTTTTACAAGGTATTCTGTTACTAGTAACATCCTCATTTCTGAAGCAGTCTTGTGGGGATATTAATCACATTTAGTGATAGTTCTAGTTTATTATAACATATTTACAAAGTAGAATAATATATTTTATTGTTTTTATCCACTGTCCTTTATGGCAAATTCTTTGATCTATATATTCTAACATTGTTTTGTTAGAAATTTCCCAGATATTGTGATAGTCAATAAATAAATCGGGTGTTTGTCACACAACATTTGAATTAATAATTAATGTAATATGTGCCAAAAGGAAAAACTAGAAATGTGTCATCATGCCACGGATGCCCCCGCATGCAGCCAAAATTTCAAATTTATAATATTTAGTTCCAAATTTGTTTGCACAAATTTTTTTTTTTCATTCTAAGTTCAAAGCCCTTAAAACTTTTCAATGTTAACACAAACCATTTTTATACAATGTTCAAGGCACTGAAATTATTCAGTCTTAACCTTTTGAAAATAGCATATTGCATATTTGTAGTCAAAATAATGGCTATATACATTTCCACAAAAGTATGAGTGCTGAAACTGAAAGTTTAAAATTTTTCCAACATTCAGGAAAGATAAGTTTGTCCAAAATCATTGAACCACGACCAAATTCAAACTTAAACTGCTTATTCCTAAGATGTATCTATATTATTTTCAAAGTGAAAGGGACATAACTAAAAATCATCGAACCATGACCAAATTCCAACTTGACCTGCGCATTCCTTTGACATATCCATATGTCAATTTTGAGTTGAATATGTAACACTGTTGGCTTGATAATGAACAGAAACTGTAAATTTCATATCATTTTCAAAGTGAAAGGGGCATTACCCTGCCATAAATCATTGAACCATGACCAAATTCGAACTTGGCCTGCGCATTCCAAAAACATATACATATGTCAAATTTGAGTTGAATGTGTAATACTGTTTGGGAGATAATAAACGGAAACTGAAAATTTCATATTATTTTTAAAGTGAAAGGGGCATAACTCTGCCAAAAATCATCGAACCATGACCAAATTAATACTGACATGTATTTTTTCATGACATATTCATATGTCAAGTTTGAGTTGAATGTGTTGTACCATTAAGGAGATAATGAACTTTCATATTATTTTCAAAGTGAAAGGGGCATAACTCTGCCAAAAATCTTCGAACCATGACCAAATTTGAACTTGACCTGCGCATTCCTTTGATGTATCCATATGTCAAGTTTGAGTTGAATGTGTTGTACCATTGGGGAGTTAATGAACGGAAACTGAAATTTTCATATTATTTTCAAAGTAAAAGAGGCATAACTCTGCCAAAAATCATCGAACCATGACCAAATTCGAACTTGACCTGTATTTTCTCATGACATATCCATATGTCAAGTTTGAATTGAATGTGTTGCACCGGTAGGGAGATAATGAACGGAAACTGAAAATTTCATATTATTTTTAAAGTAAAAGAGGCATAACTCTGCCACAAATCATCGAAACAATGACCAATTTCGAACTTGACCTGTATTTTCTCATGACATATCCATATGTCAAATTTGAGTTCAATATGTGCAACGGTTATTAAGATAATGAACGGAAACTGATGATGACGGAAGGACGGAATGACGGAACAGGGTAACACTATATGCCCCTGCCATTATATGGCGGGGGCATAAAAATCTGCGGAGAAATAGCCGGACAATTTTTTGTTTATCGTAGCAAACTTGTAAGAAGACAGTTTTGAAGAAAAACTCATACTGTATCCATTACGTGCCTGATTATATCCTGGGGCCGTGGAGGGAAGGGGTGCGGATTTCAATGACGTCATACATATGTACAATAACTAATAATCATAATCTTCAAATGTAAATTTATTTGATAAGAATTGTCACAAAACATGTAAAATAACATCTTTAGTCATAAAAACAGACACATATCTTTAAAAAAAATAATGCAAAATTAAAAGAATCAACACGATATGTTATCTGACCATACAATAACAAATAAATACAAAATAACAGAAAAAATACGTGTTGTAGTTGGTAATGCTCCCTCTACCACCGGGACTTTGTACTGTTTAAAATGACTATTTTTACAAATCCCATAGGTTTTGAATTCATCACATATGAGAATGGTTGGTACAAACAAAGAATCATAGTTCTAATTTAAACATAACACCACTGAATATCTGAAATGGACTTGTCCACCTAGTGAGCTGCTTTCAATTTGGAACAGCCCATTCTAAGTTCAAGGGATTTCAAAATCAGACTGGCCAGGTGCTAAAACACTTGTTTCAAGAACTTATATAACTCTCTGTTCCAGCAAGGGTTTATTGCTAATTTGTTTTGGTTTTCTTTACCCTTTACTCATCAAATACATGTACAACATTTCAAATTTTGGAATGTTTTAATTTTTTTCACAATAATAATTGAGCTTGGTCAATAAATAAATAAATGTATATGTAAAAATAGTACATAATCTATCCCATCTCAGAATAATTTAACATGTATAAGATTTAGCCTAAAGGCTATAAACATATAAAGATAAAAATACATTTGAGCCGCATTATGACAAAACCAACATAATGGGTTTGCGACCAGCATGGATCCAGACCAGCCTGCGCATCCGCGCAGTCTGATCAGGAACCACGCTGTTCGCTGTCAGTTTCTTTACTTGTTATAGGGTCTGTAAGCGAACAGCATGGATCCTGATCAGACTGCGCGGATGCGCAGGCTGGTCTGGATCCATGCTGGTCGCAAACCCATTATGTTGGTTTTGTCGTGATGCGGCTCATATACTATAAATATTTTAAAAAGTATAACACAGGCTGCCAACAAAAGGAGAGGTGAAAAATTATGAACATTCTGTTCAACTACATTTCATGAGCATTTAAACACGTTTTTTTTTAAAATAAACCTAAGAATGCTAAATATCTTGAATGGACTTGTCCATCTTTCAATCTGGACTAAACCATTCATCATTTTTAGGGAAAATTTTGACATATGTATACTGACTTAATAGTGAGATCATACAGCACTAATATAATCCACTGCGTCTATTCTTAGCAACCACATAATTTTGATTCATGATCTGCCTTCATAACTTTCCTTAGACACAAAAAGAGCTCTGGCAGAAATAATATAACAAATTAATGTGACCTGCAAATATATTTTTACAGGCTCACTTTGATGTATCTTTTTTCTGCCTTCATAACTTCTCTGTAACACATTAAAAAAAGCTCTGGCATCAAATAATTCAAAAAGTATGGTGGTTTGCAAATAGTTACACCGGGTGGCTTTAGTATCTATTTTTCAGCCTTCATAACTTCCCTTTGGACACAAAAAACTCAGGCAGACAAAAGAAAACTACAAGTTAAAGGTCATGATAGTTATAATGAAAAAATAAAATTAGCGAGGTTTAAATAGAGTATTATAACTATATATAGCACTCATTAAAGTTAAATAGTTCTAGAACATTAATCCTTAACCTGCTGATTTTTTTAAAAAGACTTGTCCAGCATCCATTTTTGGAACTGTCAATTACCAATAATGGGGGTATCAAGATTGAAATGTTAAGTTAGTCAGCCAACAATTTTGAACAATACATGTATAGAGCCTGATCACTGACTAACTGCACAGCACAGATATGCAGGCTGGCTGCATTGATTTGATCTAAAATATGTTTAATTTTGTTATCCATGTAATATGGTATCAATAATATTTTAAAAAAAAAGCATTTTTTATTTTTGTTATATTGTTATAGACTATAACATACTTTAAAAAAAAAAAAATATTACTGATATTATATTACATGAATAACAAGATTAAACATATTTAAGGTCAACCAAACCAGTGCAACTAGCACCTTTGGGCTGGCCAGCTCTATACTGTTGGCAAACGTTAATCACACTGCATTTCAGGTTAAGGATAATAAAAAAGAAACTACGGCAAATAGTTCAAGAAGCAGACAACAAAAATAATGCAGATATGACATTTATAAAAATATAAATGACAAGAAGAGAAAATTAATGCCTTTTGTTGTAAAAAAATGTATAAATATTAGTGATGCAACAATACACTGAATAATAATGAAACATATGCAATACAACTTCGGCCCATATATACAGTGGTACCAAACCCTTGTGAAACAATATAATTATTTTCTTTAATATTTGATTAAAATGTACAAAGATTTATTTCTGCAACATTTTCAAGAACTGCCACCTTCTGAATGTTCACACACCTTTAGTTTTGATTGTTTAGAGACATAGGAGTGTTTTAAACATTTGAATATATTTAAATAAAAAAGCTATTTGATAATTTGAAAATCTTTAAAAATGTTGGAAGAAACAAATTTAGAATAATATTGTTTTTAATAAAAAATAAACATATTGCAATGTGTATTTCAAAATGGGTTGACTGTATCACAATAGGTGACAAAAAGGTTTCACTGTACTGTTGCACTCCTAATAAATAACTATGTAACAAGCTGTTGTAAAAATGTTTAACACAAAAATCAAGCAGTATAACAAGAAACATATAGGTGACCAAGTTAGTAAAAATATGAATGATAAAAAATGACCCCCCCCCAAAAAAAAAGAAAAAAAAGAAAAAAATGAAATAAAATAAAATAAAAATGGTATTATGCACTTCACACTTTTATAACAGACCACACTTTCAGGCAATATCTAGGAATTTTCCTGACTGTCACCTCTAAAAACTTTTAATACATTGTACATATATAGGTAAAAATGCAACCAATAGAATATCTTAAGAGGGATTTTAACCCTTAACCCGCTGAATTTGTGTATTGGATTGGCCCAGCCCTGAATTTGGAACAGTCCTTTTAAAATTTAAGGGATTTCAATATCAAAATAGAAAAAAAAATGAGATCCCAACAGTTTATAGGGTCTGGTCAGACTGCATGGATGTGCAGGCTGGCCTGGTCTAATACTGGAGGCAAAGGCTTATCACTTTCAGCTCCGTCAGGTTAACATAATTAACAAATATTGTTGTTTTTTTTAGACTGGGCGTTACGTTGCACCAAACACAGTATATGGCAACATTCCAGCTTTACTGGTAGAGGAAGACATCAGGTGACCCCCTGACTACATTCTTACAGGCACAAACGAGCATCTGAGTAGAACCACCGACGATCTGTCTGGGTGTTTTTAAAGAAAATTGCAGAACAAGAAACACAGAAAAAGATGCCTGCTACAGTGTGCAGACCCTTCAATATTTTCAAGCAACTAACATGTCATAATAAGGATTCTGTATACAATATAATTATGGCAACAATAGCAAATGCAAGATTATAATGCTTTAGAAGCTAAATATTAATCTTTGTAATGATTTTAATGCCCAGATCTGACAAATAAACTGTTATGAATAATGTTAAAGTAACATTTTGCCCATCCAAGTGTAAATGTTCAATGAACAGGTAAAATTTAAAATAACTTGACATTTTACCATATTTGAGTGTTTGAAAGCCTAAGAAACAAATACAAAATAAGGTTTTCTTTGGTAATAAATAAAGTGAAGTCATTTTCAACATATCATGACCCAAAAATGTTTGTTATTTTTCAAAAGATGCATTTGGGTTCCTGTAATAGTTTCCAAAACAGTTACTCATTGGCAAATTATCCAAATCATATTTGTTTCTGTTGCTTTTTGGGAATTTGTACAGTTGATTGAGTATTTTGTATGGAAGTAGAAATACTACTTTGTTAAAAATACAATTTGCTTCTTTTATTACAAATATTTCTTTAAGTAATAAGCATCTAACATGTTCTAAATCCATTATTTTAACATCATAAAACTCATGTTTACCCATTCTAAAGAAGGAAAAAAAATGTTTTTGAGGCATAATGTGTCTTTTAGAACTTTGGGGAAATAAATGATTAAGTGTGCACACAATATTACCTTTAGCTTTAATATATAAGACTTGTGAAAAAAAATTCTTAAAATATCAAAAATAAAATCTATATGGTAATATACATGTAATCAATATGGCAGGCATATTCATTTAGCTCAATAGGGATGGCATAAGATTATATATGTATTGTAAATTTTCCCCTCATGATTTGGCAACATTCTGTTTGTATAATTACTTTTCCCAATTTGGCAGCTACTAGTGAAAAAGTTGTTTACTGTAGAACAAAGGTCTGCTTTTGCCACTGGTAACACTTCTGTCCAGTTTAAAACTTCTAAGCCAAACTCAGATCTTATGTATTTGATTGGTCAGAAAATGTGCAGAATGTAAACTGACAAAATAGAAATCCTGAGACTTGAGGCAGAGCTCAGAAAGACGTTTTATAACCTTGAACCCAAATTCCAATATCCTATTAATAAACACTGGCTGCTTGAGCAAAAGAATACAAATACCCTGTCAACTCAAAGCTGTCCAATCTAACATAAACTTTTTAGAAAATCGTTATGACTTTGTAAAAAAAGTGTTTAATCATTTACATTCCTGAATTAGCTCATAATTGTTTACTCCTCCATTAAGATTATTTGTATTACTCTTTATATTTCCTGACTGTGTATCATGATCACTAATGTTATGAATGGGTTCTCCAGATGTGTCATTCCCCGCAGTGACATAACTGTGCAATGTTCCGCTATTATCGGTGCTTGCCACTGACTGCAGTTCATTGGAACTGTTAGAACCCACGGAGGTTCTATTCTTATCTGAGGAAATATCACTCTTAGTTAATATCAAACCATTGGAATTTTTAGACAGAATATTGGCAACACGTTTGTTTTTAATTTGGTCATCAATACGCTCCAAATCACATGTAGGATTATTCTTCTTTGATTGTTTGTTTGCGTTGTCTCCTGTGTGTTCTTTATCAGTACAATTTTCTTTGTCTCTTTCCACATTTCCATTCATCCTTGAATAATCAATACCCTTACCTGTAGCCTCTTTTTCATGATTTTGAGTTGGGCCATTATCTGTACTCTCAGCAGTATCCTTACTTTCAGAGTTTATGAGATTAACATTACCCCCATTATGTAGATCATCATCACTTATGAGCTTAAAGGAATCTTCTGAAACAACATCAGAAGTTTGTTTGTGTTTTCCATACTGACCCAATAAGTCAGTACAATCACCAGAATCCCATATGACATCATCAATATCCTCAACACTTAAATCAGACTTAATCTCATTTGTATTTCCTCTTATAATCTCAATGGAACATTTCTCAATCTCGGACTTTTCACCATCAGCAGTAGTGTTAACTTTATTGTCATCTTCTAAGCCAGAAACTATATCTCTACAATTATTCAATGGTCCAGCATTTTCCTTATCATACTCCTTGTCAGTCTCTCTTCCATGATCATTAACATCATCTTTACCAGTCTCTTTTAGTGTCTCAGTTGTTCTTTGACCTTCCTGTGTTACCTTAGGATGATTTTCCAAACATGTTCCCATATCATTTAAAGTTGATATCATAGCATTAACATCGGCACTATACCTGTGACAAAGTAAGTCTTCCATGCTTACACCTGTCTGCTCACTATGAGCATCAGATAAAACACTACTTATACTTTTATAGTGATCCCGTTCCTCATTGTTTCTATCATATCTATTTACATAAGAACGACCATTTATCACTGTAAATTTATCACATAAATCATTTACAATAGTGTTTTCTGTTTCAGACTCGTTAGTCTCGGATGCAATTAGAGGTGCCCTTTCATTATCATGATCGTCAGGTTCACATGTGTGGTCAGAAACAGATTGAGCTTTCATATAGGAATCTATATCAGTGGGATTCTGATAATTCCCTTTCAGATCATCATCCTCCGTTTTAAGCACATCTATTATGTCACCAATAGAGTACTTCCTTTCACTGGGTTTCTCTGGTTCTTCAGCAGTTTCACCAGCATGCTGGTTGCTAGATGATTCATTGGATAATGATGTAACATCTAATAGATGAAGATTTTGTCCTTCCATCTGTAATCAATTAAAAAATTATTCATAACGGTAAATACTAACATCAGCTCAAAATATTTCAACTTGAAACTCACTTAGAATTGCACGACTATTATACTGGTAAACCCATTGCCTTTCAACTTCCTTGTAGTTTGGCAAACAAAAGGGTCAAATGTACCAAATTTCAGTTTTAGAGATGAATTAAACATTTTTTGTGAGTTTATATATTAACAAGACTGGCATTGTCTCATGATAGTGAACATTAAGATCAAAATTTCTCAATTTATGCTAACTAAATAGTCCATATTACTATCATCGTATTTTTAACCTGACCTTGAATTTGACCTTGACCTTTTTCACAGAGACCTGAATTCTGTGGGTGACACTCCATCACACAATGGTCAACATTTCTGGCAAGTTATATCAAAATACCTTAATGTGTGTAGAAGTTTCACTATGGACAAGTTTTTTCTTCTGACCTCCAAGTGTGACTTTTACTGTTGACCTTGTTCATGTGCATGAAATTATGGCTTATAGTGATGAAAATGTGTATCAAGTAATGCTTAATTGATCACTGAAAGTACAATATATACAATGGACATAGCCTTGACATTTCATTATCCCTTGTGACCTTGCATATATTAACTTGGATGGTGCTGGTAATACTCTTATGATTGTAAACATACAATATTGATACATAATCCCTTAAATCAAGACCACTAAATTGTCCACACATTTTCATATTTTGATCTAACCTTTGACCACTAATGACTTATGTGACCCTTATCTTTGCCAAAGGAATCTGAATATTACACTCAACAATCTGCCTAAAAATGCTTAATTCTGTGTCAAGTAATATTAAAATCCCTTAATGCATGAGAGGTTTTGTTACAGACCAATGTTTACCTCTGACCTCTAGGTGTCACCTTATTCTTTGACCTAGAAGCCTATTACATGCATGTTCACTTTATCTTATGGTGAGGAAGGTTTGTGTCAAGAAATACTTGATAATGATATATGCTGTGGACAAAACTGGACACTGCCAAACCATTAACCCACCAAGGCTATTCCAAAAAGGCAGTTAAAATTGACAGTATCTGATGTTCAGACAAGAAATTTTTTTAAGCATGTTTAACAAGGTTGTTCTATATTTTTTGTATGTGTTTCTAACTAATTGTTTCTGCATTTCAATGAATCATACATTTTGTTGCTTACAATACTGAATTAAGTTTAGATGCCAACTTTAAATTGGACCAGCAGCTGTCCAATATAATCAGTATTGGTCTCAACTATGTATAATGACCTCTTTGTATTGCATCTCCAATTTGTGATATTTTGACAGAACTTTATACTTGTTATGCATTTGATAGATTCTTTGTACTCTGAAAATGAAAACCTGGCTATACGGGGTACAATATGCGTTTGATATAAAAAAATTTGGACTCTTGAAATGAAAATGAGGCTAAAGTGATAATAATAATTTCTATTGGAACATCACATGGTGAAAGCACTGACTGTTCCTTGGTTATATTTTAATAAGGTGTGACATAATTGAGTAATATCACATTTACAAAACAGGAAACTTAATAGTAGCATTTAAAGGGATACTCAGGCAAATTAATGACAAAATATCAAAATTATCTTTAGTACTCGAATCACGCTGACATGACATTTGTAAAAGTCCCAGAATGAATTTTTGTATATATTATATTATATTTTGGGTTTGAAGTGTAAATATACCTATATATGTTAAACGAAATTTAGACGCCGGCAGAATCACTGAGTAGTTTTAAAACAAGTCATACGACTTGAACAAACCCTAGAAGTTACAATTACAGATATTGTGGATATAGTATGATTGAAACAAACATAAATCATTCATTTGACAGGTTCTTTAACGTTTCCGGAGTTCACTGTGACTAGTATTGTGAAATCTTAAAGCTCTAACCTGACCCGCGTGGGTCAGGTTAGGAAACCACCATTTTTTTCTTCATAAGGAGAAAAGTTTTGTTCCTGTGACTGCCTAGTGTATTCATTTTGAGGACATCTACAGATTAATGAATGAAAAAATCAAAACGAAGAAATGAAAATTTTGCCTGTGTCTCCCTTTAAAGTGCATGCAAATAGTGGATATTGTATGAGTGTAGGTTCAATACTGAATTCATTGAATGAGTTGCATAAAAGTCATATTATGAGGGTATGTGGCATAAAATTATTTTATTAAAAAAGTACAATAAATTTAGTAATGAAGCTACATGAATATACTATTCTATTTATCAAATATCCAAAGTGTTTACAGACAGAGGGATTAATGTTTTTCATGGACATCTTTTAAGTGTAACACTAACAGCCCATCTATAGGCTATTTTTGTTTAAAACAAATTGAGCAAAAAATATGCATGGCTGTACAATACCAGCGGAACGTTCTTGTGATAAAAAAGATAAACAAAAACTCCTAATTAATATGCAGAAGACCACTTACTTCATTTACTCTAATTTGACTACATTCATCTTTCCATTTCTGGTACTTTTTATAAGCACATCTAAAATAGAAAACAATATTAGTTGCAAATTACGATGATAAAAACTTCTCACTTTAAATTTAAACTTATTCTGAAAAGTTAAGACCACTAGGGTTGAATTAGTTGCTGATATACATAGTTAATTTTTGCATACTTGTAAGTTACATAATATAGTTATAAAGATGTGGCATGGCGGAGTTGTTGAAAATGTCACAATCAAAGCTGTCTAAAATTCTATCACATGGCGCTTATCACCAATTGCTTCTCCCATCATATGACCCCATGCACTTGGTCAGTTATACTTTGAAAACTTGTTACATTAAATTCAAGGATGTAAGAGACACTAATTGTTGCAAGTATTTATTTCAATAGAACTATCAACCTGGCATTTTTGGCTAAACTGCATAGTTTCCTGCAACCTGGCATTTTTGGCTAAACTGCATAGTTTCCTTCAGTATCAAACCAACAGCAGTTTTGAAGTCACAAAAACTTTGTATGTTAACCTAAATACAGTTCTTACATAATAAATAAAACTCATAGGAAGATAGGAAGGGTATGCTAATCATTAAACTGGAATGGTCATACATTGCCATACTTACATAATAATTATAGCCAGCACTCCAACAACAACAATCACCACTATTATTACAAAAACCACTGTATATGAAGTCTCTACAAATGTAATAAGAACTCTTATTATACTTTACATTTGAAACATTGATTTACATTGAACAATCATGATGGTTATATAACCTTCATATTAACTGATGTTGCAAATTTACAAATAAGGTTTCATTTTTCCACAAATAAAGGGATTGTGTTATACTGAAAGTTTCTTGAAAAGACTTTCGATAATTTATTTAACATTGTATCAAGAATAATTGACTACATAAACCTTGTCCATGGGTATAGGTTATATTAGCTTACAACCATTTACACATGGCCATATAACCTGTCAAAAAACCATTATAAACCTTGTCTAGAAGTGTGGGTCATACAAACTTAAAACCATTTATACATGGCCATATAACCTGTCAAAAATCTTTATGAATACTACAAATGTATTCTGATATATTTTACCAACCTGTGACTGAAAGAATTCAGGGAATGGTATTTTTTATATGAAACAGGTATATATATAAAACTGGCAAAAATGAAATTCATGTACACTAAGTGAAAAATGAATGGCATTAAATTCAAAAGCTTACCAAGCTTGGCCGTTACTACATGTACTAATGGCTTAGTATTTGCTGGTCCCCTGCCTGCCTTGCTGACCCCTCTCACCCAGACACAGTACTGGTTACCAGCCTTCAGATCTCTGGCAGTGTAACTACTGATCTGTCTCGAAATGTTGACACTAACTTCATCTTCTGTACCTGTTCATTATATAAAAGTGTGGGTACACTGACTGACTCATGTGTTCAGAATTAAAATGACAATGATATAATTAAAGATCATAATGAAAGAAAGCAAATAATAGCTATGTTTGAAGTAAAAGCAATGTATCAAATAAAGTACATGTATTGCATAAAAGTTATGTATCAAATAATAGCAAGTTAAGTACAGATGGTATTGGCATAATAGCTATCCAGAAATAACTATGTATTGTAGACTAGCTATGTATAATGGTATATAATAGCTATGTATCAAGCAATAACTATGTTTTTGTATGATAGTTTTGAACCAAATTATAGCTATAACTATGTTTTCTTTATGATAGTTTTGTACCAAGTTATAGCTATCTATCAATTAAAAGCTCTTTTTTTCTTCATTTGATTTTTACTGTTCAGCTAGACTTAACATAATTCATGTAGGAATGCTTCTGAAAAGCATGCGCAAATTCATATCTGTACGTATCCTTGTACCATTTTGACACTTCCTTTCAGTTTTCAACCGCCTTCAATTGAACTAGTATAATGAACAGTCCATTTAATTTTAAAGGGATTATATTTACCAAATAAAAGATTGAGCTACCAACAGTATAGAGCCTGGTCAGACAGCATAAATGTGCAGGCTAGCCTGGATCCGTAACTAAGGCTAATTTCTCACCACCAGATTCAGGGCTAAATTCCCATCAATTTCACAAAATCCATTAAGTTGTTTAATTTCTACTTCACTAGAGATTCTATTTTTTTGTTAATAAGAAAGGTCTCAACATTCTTCATTGGTTCAGGAACATATATGAACATTACAGTTTCATGAACATTACAATAGCAAACTATGGCTGATGGAAGAGTGCAATAAGAATATAAAACGCTATTTTTTTTTTATGATACATACATTTACATTTGTCTGACCCTTGTCCCACACAGTATGTAACCATGTTGTTGATGATATAAGCTTTCACATTATCACAATTGTAATTGTCCCATTCCACCGAGAATCCATTATCTGGTTGTATTTCTGTCAGGTGGACATTTTTTAGAGGTACTTCTGGAACTGGAAACAAAAATGACGTCTTTTTAACAACAGATTTAATCCAGTTTAATATTCTTAAAAAATTGAATATGACATAATAACTAAGAAATCTTTATTTGATACATAAAACTCAGATTAAATAGGTAAAATATAGGCAAAAGTCCATCAAATTAAAACTTGATGTTAAAATGTCTTCAAAATCAAAATTAGACTCAGAGGGTAAAATAAAGGCAAATTAAAGTGAATAAAATGCAGAGGCAATGGGTAAAATAAAGGCAAAAGGCAGTTTAAATTAAAGGCAATGTGTAAAATATAAGCAAAAATCAAGTGTCTTCAGAAACAAATATTTCAAAGTTAAAGGGCACAGCAAATATGAACTGTCAGAAAGACACCATTCTTGACTTTTCTCAGTGCTTGATAGAAAAACAAAGATCCTGGATAATATAGAATTTTAATAGTTCAAAAAGGGACATAATTCTGTCAAAATCCACGCTACAGTTATGGGCATTGACCTTCTATTATGCTCTCAAATAAGTGTGTAAAGTTTCAACCCGTTCCCTTGAGTTGTTTTAGAGATACCAACCTACATACAAAAACATAACCAAATCAAATGGCGATGTGGACGCCTGCCAGTAGGTACAATAGCAATCCCTAATCTCCCATAGTCTAGCTAAACCTTACGACAATGTTCAAAATAATTTATGACCTTTTCTACTAAAAAGTTAACTTACCTATCCCCAAATGATAAATACATGGCTCCCACTGAATTCCTGTATCAATAATCTGACCTTGACCTTTATGGAAACCATTGGTGACTAAACCATAGCGATAGTCAATATCACATTTGTTGCCATCAAATTTAAAGGATGTTCTATTACTACTCAGCTGCTTCCTTTTGATTGGTTCCTGTAATTTAAAAAATTAGTGATGGTAAATTTTCACACATCTTCCAGTTAATCTATATTTAGGATTACACATAGGTGAAATAAAGGATTACAAAGGTGAAATATAGGATTACACAAATGTAAAATATAGGATTACACAAAGGTAAAATATAGGATTACACAAAGGTAAAATATAGGATTACACAAAGGTAAAATATAGGATTACACAAAGGTAAAATATAGGATTACACAAAGGTAAAATATAGGATTACACAAAGGTAAAATATAGGATTACACAAAGGTAAAATATAGGATTACACAAAGGTAAAATATAGGATTACACAAAGGTAAAATATAGGATTACACACAGGTAAAATATAGGATTACACAAAGGTAAAATATAGGATTACATACAGGTAAAATATAGGATTACACACAGGTAAAATATAGGATTACACAAAGGTAAAATATAGGATTACACACAGGTAAAATATAGGATTACACACAGGTAAAATATAGGATTACACAAAGGTAAAATATAGGATTACACACAGGTAAAATATAGAATACACACAGGTAAAATATAGGATTACACAAAGGTAAAATATAGGATTAATATAGGCTTACATACAGATTTTATAGGATTACAAACAGGTAAAATATAGGATTACACACAGGTAAAATATAGGATTACACACAGGTAAAATATAGGATTACACACAGGTAAAATATAGGATTACACAAAGGTAAAATATAGGATTACACACAGGTAAAATATAGAATACACACAGGTAAAATATAGGATTACACAAAGGTAAAATATAGAATTACACACAGGTAAAATATAGGATTACATACAGGTAAAATATAGGATAACACAAAGGTAAAATATAGGATTACACACAGGTAAAATATAGAATTACACACATGTAAAATATAGGATTACACACAGGTAAAATAAAGGATTACACACAGGCAAAATATAGGATTACACACAGGCAGAATATAGGATTACACAAAGGTAAAATATAGGATTACACACAGGTAAAATATAGGATTACACACTGGTAAAATATGGGATTATACAAAGGTAAAACAAGAGCACCGCTAGGCGGAGCATTATATGCCCAAAAGTGTTGGTTTTTTTTAGTAAGGATGAAGCATTTGTAAGACATGGAATTCGCTGTTCATCCTATAAAATTTTACAGCTGTAGGTTGATTAATACTTAAGTTATTAATAATGACCTTAACCTTTGACCTTGTGACCCCAAATCAATAGGGGTCTTCTACCTTATATGTACAATCATCCTAAGAAGTTTGAATATTGTGGGCCAATTGGAACTTTAATTATGCTCTAGAAACTGTTTTCAGTATTAAGGTAAAAGTGACTTTGACCTTGTGACCCCAAAATCAATAGGGGTCTTCTACCCAATATTGATAATCATCCTATGAAGTTTGAATATTGTGGGCCAAATGGAACTTACGTTATGCTCCGGAAACTGTTTTTGGTTTTAAGGTAATTGTGACCTTGACCTTTGACCTAGCGACCCAAAATCAATAGGGGTCTTTTGCCCAATATGGACAATCATCCTATGAAGTTTGAATATTGTGGGCCAAATGGAACTTAAGTTATGCTCCAGAAACTGTTTTCAGTTTTAAGGATATAGTGACCTTGACCCTTGACCTTTTGACCCCAAAATCAATAGGGGTCTTCTACCCAATATGGGCAATCATCCTATGAAGTTTGAACACTTTGGGCCAAATGGAACTTAAGTTATGCTCTGGAAACTGTTTCCAGTATCAAGGTATTAGTGACCTTGACCTTTGACCTTGTGACCCCAAAATCAATAGGGGTCTTCTATCCAATATGGACAATCATCCTATGAAGTTTGAACATTGTGGGTCAATTGGAACTTAAGTTATGCTCCGGAAACTGTTTTCAGTATCAAGGTAATAGTGACCTTGACCTTTGACCTTGTGACCCAAAAATCAATAGGAGTCTTTTACCCAATATGGACAATCATCCTATGAAGTTTGAACATTGTGGGTCGAATGGAACTTACGTTATGCTCCGGAAACTGTTTTTGGTTTTAAGGTAATTGTGACCTTGACCTTTGACCTAGCGACCCAAAATCAATAGGGGTCTTTTGCCCAATATGGACAATCATCCTATGAAGTTTGAATATTGTGGGCCAAATGGAACTTAAGTTATGCTCCAGAAACTGTTTTCAGTTTTAAGGATATAGTGACCTTGACCCTTGACCTTTTGACCCCAAAATCAATAGGGGTCTTCTACCCAATATGGGCAATCATCCTATGAAGTTTGAACACTTTGGGCCAAATGGAACTTAAGTTATGCTCTGGAAACTGTTTCCAGTATCAAGGTAATAGTGACCTTGACCTTTGACCTTGTGACCCCAAAATCAATAGGGGTCTTCTATCCAATATGGACAATCATCCTATGAAGTTTGAACATTGTGGGTCAATTGGAACTTAAGTTATGCTCCGGAAACTGTTTTCAGTATCAAGGTAATAGTGACCTTGACCTTTGACCTTGTGACCCAAAAATCAATAGGAGTCTTTTACCCAATATGGACAATCATCCTATGAAGTTTGAACATTGTGGGTCGAATGGAACTTAAGTTATGCTCTGGAAACTGTTTTCAGTTTTAAGGTCATAGTGACCTTGACCTTTGACCTTTTGACCCCAAAATCAATAGTGGTCTTCTACCTAATATGGACAATCATCCTATGAAGTTTGAACATTGTGGGTCAATTGGAACTTAAGTTATGCTCCGGAAACTGTTTTCAGTTTTAAGGTCATAGTGACCTCGACCTTTGACCTTGTAACCCCAAAATCAATAGGGGTCTTCTACCTAATATGGACAATCATCCTATGAAGTTTGAACATTGTGGGTCAATTGGAAGTTAAGTTATGCTCCGGAAACTGTTTTTGTTTTAAGGTCATAGTGACCTTGACCGTTGACCGTTTGACCCCAAAATCAATAGGGGTCTTCTACCCAATATGGGCAATCATCCTATGAAGTTTGAACATTGTGGGCCAAATGGAACTTAAGTTATGCCCCGGAAACCAAATTGCTAACGGACGGACGGACGGATGGAAGTTCTCACAGGACAGTAATTATGTGGCTACTCTATTGTTCTCTCTATTGTTCTTTTTAGCCACACAAAATAAAATAGCCACATAAAAGCATTACGGGGTATAACATAATATGCCCATAATATGCCCTTTCGGGCATATAATAAAGGATTACACACAGGTAAAATATAGAATTACACACAGGTAAAATATAGAATTACACACATGTAAAATATAGGATTACACAAAGGTAAAAAAATATAGGATTACACAAAGGTAAAATATAGGATTACACACAGGTAAAATATAGGATTACACAAAGGTAAAATATAGAATTACACAAAGGTAAAATATAGAATTACACACAGGTAAAATATAGGATTACACAAAGGTAAAATATATATTTACACACAGGTAAAATATAGGATTACAAAAAGGTGAAATATAAGATTATACACAGGTAAAATATAGGATTACATACAGGTAAAATATAGGATTACACAAAGGTTAAATATAGGATTAATATAGGCTTACATACAGATTATATAGGATTACAAACAGGTAACATATAGGATTACACACAGTTAAAATATAGCATTACCCACAGGTAAAATATAGGATAACTGACACAAGTAAAATATAGGATAACTGACTCGGGTAAAATATAGGATAACTGAGTCAGGTAAAATATAGGATAACTGACTCAGGTAAAATATAGGATAACTGACTCAGGTAAAATATAGGATAACACTAAGGTAAAATATATGTTCCATCAGATAAGCTTGGAAAATCCAATATATTCTCAAAATGTGAATCAAGACAATAATGTTACTATAGCAACCTACCTGACAGACTTGTTTTGTTCCCTGGCACCACACTAATGTATGAAACACATCAGAAATGTTTGACTTATGTTCCGACACAATGATTTCAGCTGTTCTTACACATATTTCGCCAGTCTTATTGTACTCAATAACAAGTTGGAATGGATTTGGACCTACATAAAAAGTATAAAATAAATAAACATCTTTCGACCTTAACAGCTTCATTTATTTATTTTTTTTTGCTCTTTTATCAAATTTTGATTGAAGAGAAGCTGTATACCTCATGATTCTTTGAAAGAACTGGCCTAATGTAAATTGCTCTATTTTTTACCAGTACTGGCCTAATGTAAATTGCAAGATTCTTAACCAGTACTGACCTAATGTAAATTGCAAGATTCTTAACCAGTACTGACCTAAGCTCAATTGCAAGATTTTTTACCAGTTCTGGCCTTAGGTAAATTGCAAGATTCTTTACCAGTACTGGCCTAAGGTCAATTGCAAGATTCTTTTCCAGTACTGGCCAAATGTATATTGCAAGATTCTTTACCAGTTCTGACCTAAGGTCAATTGCAAGATTCTTTGCAAGTACTGGCTTAATGTAAATTGCAAGATTCTTTACCAGTACTAGATTTATGTAAATTGCAAGATTCTTTACCAGTACTGGCTTAATGAAAATTGCAAGATTCTTTACCAGTACTGGCTTAATGTAAATTGCAAGATTCTTTACAAGTACTGGCTTAATGTAAATTGCAAGATTCTTTACCAGTACTGGCTTTATGTAAATTGCAATATTCTTTACCAGTACTGGCCTTATGTACATTGCAAAATTCTTTGCAAGTACTGGCCTTATGTGAATTCCCCATTCTTTACCAGTATTGACCTCATAGAAACCTGAAGACATGCTCACCTATTTAATAAATAACCACTACATTATAATAATTTACAATGTACTATTTTTTAAACCAGAAAAAATATTGCAAGATAAATGATTTATTTTCAAACATATAAAGTTTACATTCAAACCTGCTTGAAAGGCCACAAGCAATACCTGTCACAAAACACCAAAGTTTGATCATGCTAACTACTAAGTTTCTTTTCTTTGATGGGTTCTATTTATCAAACTTAAAACATTTGTGAATTAATTTATCAGAAGACTTATTAACCTTGCATCTCAACCATTAGAATGTACATGTAGTTATCATAAAACACTCTTTGTCTCCAGAGACCACCTGTCCATAGTGACCAGTCTGTCCATAGCGACCATCTGTCCATAACGACTAGTCTGTATATCCTTTAATGAAGTCTTTGAATTCTATTTTTACAGATTAGATTGATTTAAGTATCAAATATACAATATACTTCCTAACTCACCTTTGATTGCTGGAAATACAGTTATAACTGAGGGAGATGGCCCTGGCCCAATACTGTTGACTGACTGCAGTGTTACAGTAAGCATTGTGGATCTTGGAATATCAATTGATATATAAGATTTTGGATGTTTAGCATGTACAGTTTTGTTGTAGGTCTTGTTGTAGGTAGTTAGCTTGTAGAAAACATTTTCAGCTGCATCATGTAAGACACAATCTACCAGTGGCTGGAAAATATAGACAATTTTTGGTTGTAATAAATATAATCTTTACATTTCTGAAAACATTTTTAAATCAGAATGCATACATTATTGGCACATTTTTTTCATGAGCAGGACACCTTTTTCTTTCCAAAAAAAAAGAAGAAGAAGAAAAAAAAAATTTCATGATCATGTAACTGTGAAATTGATTTCTAACACAGTTTGTGTCTAGAAGCTTACATCACTAAGTATTATAGATCACATGAATAAATAATAAAATAGGGATTTGGTTTATATATTCCAGGTTTCATCACATTTAAACTAAATTAGATATACAGTTAAACTGTGCAAAAAGGACACCCAAGGGAGAGAAAAAGCATAGTCTTTTTGTATCTTCATATACAGCTAGGTTATTTTATTCCATTTTAATCAAAGAAAGGTTATCAAACAAATTGGCCTTTACTTACTGGGTTATCTTTATTCAGAGGTGATCTTTAACACAGCTTTGACTGTATTTGTCAAATGAAATAGTTTGAAAAAAACTTATTTTCAAATTAATTACTATTTTCAGGTTATCAATACAGATTATGATGCAGTATTTACTGTTCTAATATAAAACTCTATACATATAGAACTTACTGTCCAGTATACACCTAGGGAATCAAAGCCTGGTTTAGTGGAGCTTGAGATATCATACATCCCAGAGGGCAATTTAGGGTTAACATCCAAAACTGTAATATAAACACTGCATTACATATAATAATTATATGATCCTAAAATAGCTTGTCAAGGTGAAAGAGTTAATTTGCCTACTGAATTTGTTTTTGTTTAGTTTGTTTGCCTGCTATGGTAAAACACAATCTATTTCCGTATTCCTGTCATAAACAGGCTGGTATTAACTTATTGTGTATTCCTGAACTAACCTGATGAGTATTGCCAAGGCTATACCAGTACTCAGCTGATGAGAATTTCTTGCTGACCTAATGAGAATTACCAGATTCTTCATGAGTACTGACCAAATGAGAATTACAAGATTCTTTACGAGTACTGACCTAATGAGAGTTACTAGATTCTTTAAAAGTACTGACCAAATGAGAACAAGATATGTTTGTAAAACATGTATGCCCCCTATCGGCAGCCAATAAGTCATGTGATAAGGTTATTATGCATGACTTCTGACCCAGTGAACAAACAATTAGTAAGGGTTATCTAGTATCTACTGGTCATGACTAGTCACAAGGTAATAATTATTGTGACCCCATAGGTTGTGTGCAGCAATTTAAGTTATTACAAATTTTACCCAATAATATATGCATAAATTTTATGAATCATGTAGGCCTCATTAATGACAGCCAAGTTGTTATATTACATAAGACCTTCAAATGTGTATACCAAAGGCATTTTTAGTTTAAAATAAAAATATCAACCAAGGCAACTTGAGTTGTTTAGTTATTGGTCAGGAACTGTCATTAAGTACAAGGTCAATATGACAATGACCCCTTGACCCCAAAATCAATAGGGGTCATCTGCTGGTCATGACCAATCATCATACAAAGTTTGAAGTTCCTAGGCCTAAGTGTACTTTAGTCATTGAAAGGAAACCGTTTTTACCTACAATGTCAATGTGACCTTGACTTTGGACCCCTTGACCCCAAAATCAATAGGGGTCATCTGCTGGCAATGACCAATCATCATACCAAGTTTGAAGTTTCTAGGCCTTAGCGTTCTTTAGTTATTGATCGGAAACCGTTTTTACCTACAAGGTCAATGTGACCTTGACCTTTGACCCCTTGACCCAAAAATCAATAGGAGTCATCTGCTGGTCATGTCCAACCATCATACCAAGTTTGAAGTTTCTAGGCCTAAGCGTTCTTTAGTTATTAATCGGAAACCGCTTTTACCTACAAGGTCAATGTGACCTTGACCTTTGACACCTTGCCCAAAAATCAATAGGGGTCATCTACTTGTCATCACCAATTACCATACATAGTTTGAAGTTCCTAGGCCTAAGGGTTCTTTAGTTATTGATCGGAAACCGTTTTTACCTACAAAGTCAATGTGACCTTGACCTTTGACCCCTTAACCCCAAAATCAATAGGGGTCATCTGCTGGTCATAACCAATCACCATACCAAGTTTGAAGTTCCTAGGCCTAAGGGTTCCTTAGTTATTGATCGGAAACCGTTTTTACCTAAGAGGTCAATGTGACCTTGACCTTTGACCCCTTGACCCCAAAATCAATAGAAGTCATCTACTGATCATGACTAATCACCATACCAAGTTTGAAGTTCCTAGGCCTAAGGGTTCTTTAGTTATTGATCGGAAATCATTTTTGCTTACAAGGTCATTGTGACCTTGACCTTTGACCCCTTGACCCCAAATTCAATAGGGGTCATCTACTTGTCATGACCATTCACCATACCAAGTTTGAAGTTCCTAGGCCTAAGGGTTCTTAAGTTATTGATCGGAAACCGTTTTTGCTTACAAGGTTAATTTGACCTTGACCTTTGACCCCTTGACCCCAAAATCAATAGGGGTCATCTACTTGTCATGACCATTCACCATACCAAGTTTGAAGCTCCTAGGCCTAAGGGTTCTTTAGTTATTGATCGGAAACCATTTTTGCTTACAAGGTCAATGTGACCTTGACCTTTGACCCCTTGACCCCAAAATCAATAGGGGTCATCTTCTTGTCATGACCATTCACCATACCAAGTTTGAAGTTTCTAGGCCTAAGGGTTCTTTAGTTATCACCCGGAAACCATTTGGTCTACGGACCGACGGACCGACAAGTGCAAAGCAATATACCCCCTCTTCTTCGAAGTTGGGGCATAATTACAAGATTCTTTATGATTACTGACCTAATGAGAATTACCAGATTCTTCACGAGTACTGACCAAATGAGAATTACCAGATTCTTTACGAGTGCTGACCTAATACGAATTACCAGATTCTTTATGAGTACTGACCTTATGGGAATTTCTTGATTCTTTATGAGTTGACTGACCTAATGAGCATTACCAAATTCTTTACAAGTACTGACCTAATGAGAATTTTTTGATTCTTTACCAGTACTGACCTAATGAGCATTACCAGATTCTTTACGAGTACTGAGTCTATGAGAATTTTCTTATTCTTTACCAGTACTTACCCAATGAGAATTCCAAGATATTTTCTTATCTTATACAACTGTGATTACTTTTTTAATGTAGTGCAATAGATAATAATAATTCTGTTTCAGGGGAGACAACTGATTCTTTTATATACACAGTGATCTCTGTTTTTTCAAGTCTCAACCAAATGAATCGAAATAATAAATTGAAATTAATTGTAACCATATACATCATGCATACCATCACTGTCTGTGTGCTGTGTTATTATGGTAGGAGCACTCCAGTAACCCCTTGGTAGTAATGTTCTATTGTCTAGTTCTTTCTCTTCTATCAGCTGACCAATCACAGTGTAGGTGTACTCTGTGTGTGGAGTGACCCCACATATGATACGGTCACCAGTAAATTTATAACTGTCAAAACTGCTACCATTAAATGCCACCATGAAACTCTGGAAAATAAAAAAGATGACAATAAAAACATAGCTACACTTCAGTTAATTTGCCTTAAGCCTGCTGGAGAAAAATGATTTTACCAATGCAGCTTTAGACCAATCTCTTGACACAATTAGTTTTAAAGGCCCATTATGTCCTAGACATAGTTATATTTTTATTCCTGAAAGCTTTTTTGTTTCTGGTGCCCTGTTATTGTTTACAAAAGGTTACTCATTGGCCAATCACCTGAATCATATTTTCCATCTGTTGCTTTCTTGAAACAAGTTCAGTAATAAGCGTATAGTATTTTGTATGGAAGACAAAACACTACTTTGTTTACATTTTGCTACTTTTATAATAATATTTCACATTTAGCAATACTTTCTTCATATTAAGCATTTAACATGCTCTAAAACCATTATATAAACATTTTTAAATTCAGGTTTGCCCTTTCAAAATAAGGCAAAAATTTATTCATTTCTGAGGCAAAATGTGCCTTTAAATGTGTTTTCCTAAGTATATGTAAACAGTGAACCCAGGACGCGGCCATTTCTGACCTGGAAACATGGTTTATACAAGATTCATACAATATTTGTAGAGACCTTACAGCTTATGCTACTCCCAGTGTTAGGCTCAGTCAATTTTGACTCTGAGATCATGATTTACATTACTTATGAAAGGGGGCCACATGATAAATTACATTTTAAACTCTTGACATTATAGACTATAAGTTAACTTAGAAAATGAATTTTTAAAGTCTGTTTCCTGTACCCAGTCAATGTAACCAAAGTGATACAGGTGCAGAGCCATTTTTTTACCCCAATAGCATGATTATTTAACCTTTGTAGTGGTTCACTTACTTTCAGCTCCTGTGACCTTCCTATGCATCAATTGAGCCACTTTTGTCGAAGACCACTGAGAGAAAATGGTTAATATCTAACATTTGATCATCAGTAATATGTTTTTGATTACAAATGGTCACTAAATAGAGGTCTTTTTTAAATATGAGCAGTACAGATCTGATTGCAGATAGTTATAAATCCTTTGTTACAATACTAAATCTATAAAAAGAAAGCCTAGCTCTTTTTTTGAATTTTGAAGCATGTTTTTGTCTGACAGGCCCCTAGAAAAGTATTCAAATTCTGTTACTTATGTTATTAATTTACAAACCTGCTTTGGTGTACAAGCCGAGCTGTAGGATACATTGAACCGGAACTTGTAGTATTTGATTGTAGGCTGCCAGTCTAACTGTACACACCTTTCTCCCTGAGCCCTTCGTACCGACAACTCTTTTACAGGTCCGGGAACCACTGAAAATAATTGACATATATATATAACCTGTTAAGTTGAGTATATTGTTACTTATAGATTTGGAGGATTTATTCTATAAAAAAAAAAAATAATAAAAAAAAAATTAGCATAGATTTGAAGACTTTTGCAAAATTTATATACCATGGATCTGGAGATTTTTACTAAAAACTAGAAATGTGTCCATAGGACACGGGTGCCCGCACATAATGAAACAGTTTTTTACTTAGTCAAGGGAAATAACTCTACAAATACTGGATAAATCCACAAGCGAAACCCCAGGTGCAAAACTTTAATATGCTGAACAACCTTCCTGTAAAGGTTTAATAACTGTATGTCAAATCCTTTTTGAGTTACATGCGACACAAGTTGAAAATTGCAAAATTTTACTAAGTCAAGGGCAATAACTCTTAAAATACTAAAAATATCCAGACGAAAATACCCAGGTGCACAACTACACATGCTGATCAACATTCCTGTAAAGTTTCATGACTCTAGGTCAAATATTTTTTGAGTTATGTGTGACACAAAAGTGAACGGACGGAGGGACGGACGGAAGGACGGACAAGGGTAAATCTAAATGCCCGCCACTAAAGTGGGGGCACAAAAATAGAGATTTCACAAATATTAACATGTATATGAAGTTTTTCACAAAAACAAAAGGCAAGGCTTTGGAGATTTTCAAAATAATATTAGCATGGATCTGGAGATTTTTACACAAAATTCCTTAGAATTTGTGATTTTCAAAAATATTAGTATGAATATAAAGATTTTCAAAAAAGCACAAGCATGGATTTAGAGATTTTCACAAAAATTAGCATGAAACTGGAGATTTGCAGCAAAAAGAAGCATGGAATTCGTGATTTTTCGCATGGATCTGTGGATTTTGAGAAAAATTAAAATGGACTTTGAGTTTTCACAAATTTTAGGATTGATTTAGATATTTTCACTTAAAATAGCAATGATACTGGAGATTTACTCATTTGATACAAAAAGAGTAATAGAGTTTTAAAATCAACTTACTAATGTCATACTGATAGAACTTTTTGGTTGTTTCCTTGGTGATATTTTTCTCTATTGCTGTAACAGACACCTTTGTAATGATCATGAATGGCCCAAGATAGTTGTCAGAGTTCCAGTGACATGATGTTCTATTCTGGTCAGGACAAGGTGCCCAAGAAGATGCTCTATTAATATCACTGTATCATAAAATAATTCACAAATATATATATGAAATATTTATTCTAGGGTCAAGGTCATTTAAAGGTTCAGGTCATATATGAATTACTTCACACCCCTGTTTTGTCATAAGTGTTGTTTTGTCAAAGTATGAAACAAACCTATTCAAATTTTTGGTAAGTTTTATGAAAAATTTAATAACTTGACTTTGAAGGTCAAGGTAACTCAAAGGTTACAACAATTTAAGTAAAATTCAAGGTCATTTTAAAGTAAACATCAAATCTGACTTACTCAAAATCTTAAATTATTAAAACATCCATAAATAAGTTATGGCTAATTTAAGCAAAAGTCAATAATTCTACTATTAAGGAAATGCCATACAAAGGTCAAAGTTATGTTTGGTATAAGCTACCTAAATTATTTTCTGAAGGTTTGTTATGTCTCGGTATAGATTCAAAACATCTTTTCAATTTGATAAGGATTTGACCAAGGAGGTCAAGGTCATTTTTAGATATAGGTTAAATTTCTTTAAATAAGCACAAGAAGATCTGATGTTCATTAACCCATGTCCAGTTTTATCAAAATTAAACAGATTAAAAAGATAGCCTCAAGGTTATGTCTATAAGACACAAAGGCCGCCAGACGGATGGATACTGCTGCCTCAAACCAGATTACCTCACTTACAACTTGTTCTACCCTGGTATAACAACAATTTTATCCAAAATAACTAATGGTGATTTTATTTGCAAATTGTATAGAAGAAAACATTTCCACATAAACAATGCATATGGAACAAAAATAATGATTTCTTTGCCAAGCAGGCCTGACAAGTATATGAAATATCTTCAAGTCATATAAAATTACATATAAATCAAAGTATTTTTTTCTATATATAACTGTACCACCTCATTCAAATTATCTAACTCACCTTTTGAATGAAAAACTGGCAGTCTCACATATTACATCAACGTCATGTGACCGGTGGTATTCAACACCTAGGGACCATGTACATGTCATCTCTTTAAAATCATATATACGACAGTCCAGATTCACAGGTTCACGAGGGTAGTCTGTAAAAATAAAACCAGAATGTTCCGGAAAATGTCATTTACAATCTTTCGGAGATTTAACTCTTTTGCTGCCAGAACTGTTTTTATTTATATATTTACAGTGTTTTTGCTTATGACAGTTCTAAAATAAAAACATGAGGTTTATCATAATTTCATATCCCAGAGATGAGTACCCCCAATCATGTAAGCAAATACATGGTACTGGGATATGAAGGGACTTAAATTGACCAGTCTTGTTATGGAAATAGATGAAAGAATGAGAATTGAAAACATGCCTGTCTTGTAAGGCAAATAAATGGTACAGGATGTGGAACAGGTATACGAGGCAGCGAAAGTGTTAATTTCATATAATTTAAGGTACTATTTCCATCATCAGCCTGTATGAACCATTCAACAGTTGATCATTGCCACTAAATATTTAAAGCTAGAATTTTTTTACTTTTTTTTCCTGTTAGTATAAAAATATTATTATTAAATGTGCTTTTTGACCATCTTTTATTTTTCTCATTACGTCACATTAGTGCAATAATTGATTAACTCCTTTAAAATTTAGAAGGACTTAATCCGTTACTGCACTAAGGTGATGATTAAAGGCTTTTACACCTATGTGATGTTTCTTTGGGAAGCTGAAGGAAGGCACAGACCAAAACTAATTTCTAGTTTATCCCCCCTTCGCTTTTTAAAGAACCAAAATATATTATATTAAATAAAATTATTAATTTTGATTATAAAAATAATCAAAATCCAATGTGTAAAAAAAGTCAAAATGTCAATTTCATCAGTTTTAAAAAGAGAAATTCATAGAAATAGGGAACGTAATTATGTTTACTGACATATTATAAGACCAAAGAAAGGCATAACACCACATAGATTCATATCAGCTGTTGATGGACAAATTACGTTAACATCTAGCAAATAAATTAAATGGACGATCATATAAAATAATGTCAAAATGTGCACACCCAAGCCATATATCAGACATACAGAGTGAGAAACAACAACAACAACAAACAGAAAACAAAGTGTTCATTATACTGACAACATTATTTACACAGCACATAATCTCTGACCCTCAATTTTATCCTGAAATTTGAGAAACAAAAAACAGTAAACAATTCCTCCTTAAAATAAGCTCAACAGATATCCGCAATTTACAAAATGAATTTCTATACTTCAATTTTCCTACTGTTCTTAAAGGGACTCCACTGAGGTCCAAAAGCCTAAAAACATAAAATTTGAATTACTTGTTACATAGATAAGCTGAAGCTTAAGTATGTAAAAGGTAATTAAGAATTGTACTCAGAAATAAATTAAAAACTGTATTTTGTGCTATTCTTAGCTCGATTTGGGTGAAAAGCATTGCAACAATTTAATTTCTGGTCATTTTTCACAATTAAAATAATTATTCAGTGAAAAAGGAGTGAGAAAATGATCTGAAATTATGCACACAAGTTATTGGTCTCTCACTTCATCAAATGAAATAATAATCTTTAAAAATTATTTCCAGCCCCATCATGTCAAAAAACCTCATTGGTGAGTCCCTTTAAGGTAGACTATAGAATATTGCTTTAAAGAATATTTCTTATTCTAAAGCGTTTTTAACATATCTCGTAATCCGTTATGTATACCCAATTCTTTTAGTAATTGATACGTCTGTTTATCACAGAACAAATTTACTTTAAAGGAAATACTACCACTTTTGAACCCTTTAACAGATTCTAACCATGCCATCGATGCAGTGCTGTGAGATCTAGTCAAAATATGTTGACATGCCAAAGCTTGATTCTGAGATATTTTCGTTCAAGGTCAGAATCATTGCCCAGACACTTTTTTTTGTTTGTTTGTTTTATCGTGTTTTACGTCACAACGACACAGTATAGGTCATATGGCGACTTTCCAGCTTTACTGATGGAGGAAGACCTCAGGTGCCCTTCGGCACGAACGGGTACCTGAGTAGAACCACTGAGGTTCGGTAAGCTAGCTGAATAGCTTCCTCACATTAGAATTCAAAGTCCCTGTCAGGATTCGAACCTACAGTGGTGAGGGGCAAGTGGTTTGAAGTCAGCGACCCTAACCACTCGACCACGGACAGCCCAGACACGAAATAGCACAATATCTCGTCGCTCAGTACAAAAAGTTGATCATGGTCTGGACTGTTTGCTTATATTCATCAAAACATTATTTTAAAACTTTAATATCATAAACTTTGTGTAACTTAATGACAAAAATCTTTTATTGTTATATGTACTTACACTCAAGTCGGACATGTACATTATCATAGCATTGATTGATATTGGATTTATTCACACATTTATATTGCGTCGAGTCTTTTGTCTCATCTATATCCTGTGCTGTAACATCTGGTATTATCATCTGTAATAATATAGCCATATTAATAAATAAACAATAAAACATGTGTGGATCCAGAGAGGGTGTTAGAGGGTCATGACCACCCCCTTCCCCCTGGAAATTTGACTTATAATAAGTATGTTAATACATGTATTAGGATATCAACTTAGGTTTTCCTCAGCGAAAATCTACCCAAAAAAAACAAAAAACCTAGTGATAACCAACAAAATTTGACACATGTCCTCTCTTCAAGACTTAAGTAATTTTAATGCCAAGCGCCCTCTGGATTATGCATCTCAAAATTCTGTGACCCCCCTCTGGTAAAAAATCCTGGATCTAGGCCTGATACTAATAAATAAACAAACAGGATGTATAAAGGTAAAATTATGGGCTTGTAGATTATGCTTAATATTAGAAGCTGAAGGTGAACATTTAAGCCACTTTAATTTTAAAATTCCTCTGGGTAAGACTGGAGGCTACAATCTCTTTACCTTTGACCTTTATGTTACCTTGATCTTTCTCACATCATCTTATGATGCTAAGTATATGGACACAAATCTACACACTGCTACTGATACAGAGATTGTACTGTACATTTCTAAATTTCTTATGAATTCCATATTAAAATGCTTATTATTATTCCCTATTAAAATCTTATTACAATTTGATAAATGTTTAAAGCAGCATGCCTCTAGAATCATAATACAATCATGTAATTTCATGAAAATTCTAAAAATTTATTGAAAAATAAAATATTGCCAAGTGAACAAAATCTGCAAAAACAACAGGCAAGCAGTGGAAATATGATAATAAATACTGCCAAATCAGTCATTAATTGCAAGCAACATAAAAATTATTGCTTTAATTGTTAATATTTTTACTTTCCTTAAAATTTTAGTACATTTTTCTCTAGGTTGATTTTCTTGAAATATTTTGGCTTTCCTGGAGGCATGCGCCTTATTAATTGATACCATAATAAGTTACCTTTATTGATGTTGCATTCACTTTATGAATAAACTCCTCTGGTATCATTTCTGTTTCTCCACTTTTGACAAAAGCTAATTTTTCAGCTGGGACACCTGGTATGCTACATGTTAAAACAATGTCCTCACTTTCCAGAAATAACGCTGACTTTGGGGTAATTGCTGAAATATGTCTCCTCATTTAAAAATATATAAATGATCTAAAACTTCATTATAAAGTTACATTTGATGTTGGTAAATGAATCCCAATAAAATTATGTCATTTGTATTTATCATTATGTTATTTTCAAAAGGATCACATGTTGTTAAAATAAAGCTTTTTCTTAAAGAAATGAACTTGACCTTTGGTATGTTTTTTCAAAGAGTATGTAGGTACAAAACATAAAGTGTTTTATCTAAAAACGCATATAACATTATTTTGGAGGTTGACAAAATTATAAAAGTTTTTCTTTAAAGTGCTTTGTCATAATTCTCCGGGATGTAAGTCCAACTAATAAGACTTGTCAAAGAGGCATGGAGATAATTTTGAATGGGGGATATCTTTTTCCCATGTTTTGATAGTTGGAGAAAAAAATTTTCTTTTAAATTTGTCAATAACATTCATGCCAAATGAACTTGGCTAATGTGACACAAAAGTTGAAGGACTGGCAGCCCTAAATTAAGGGCCAGTCATAAAACTGAGAAAAAACAACTACACTTTTATTATAACCTGCCTGATCCCCTCAAAAACAAGGAAAATGGTAGAATGATAAAGAAAATATGAAAATAACAAACCTAGCATAAATTACTACTTTACGTTAATAAAAAGAACATTTTGGAATAGTAACGACAATAGAGATACAAATGTACTTTGGAAATCAGTTAATGGGTTTTTTCCCCATCTATTGCCGTGGTACAAACTCCTACAGTTACAACTTGGAAAACATATCAATACTTTATTAGTATTTATTACTGCATGCATAATATTCTGCAATTATTGTTAAAACATTATGCGGACTTAAATTTCAACATCAACCATCTGAAGTACTATGTCCATTGTTTAAGTACATATTAATTGTGAATGGTAAGTGCATCGTAAGGCTAACTCAGCAATTAATGTTTATTTAATGGGAAAAAACCCACAATTACAGAGTTCTGGATGAGACTGAGATTAGAACCTAACAAAAAATATTAGAAATATGCCATGTTAATGCAGACGGCATTTGAATTCTGGTCAAGTTCAAAATAAAAATACCCCCAATCTTAAGAACTATTATATATGTATATGAAAAACATGCAATAAATTCACTTCCAACACTAATAAGCTGATAATTAATTAATCAATTAATTAATTAGACACTGCCTCTGAAAATAATTGTATACTGATAGCAATGATATTGTTGATCACAGATATGTACACAATAATAACATGGATAAGAAATGTCATGTCTCGTTTAGAGATGTTATCACTGTTAATGAACATAAACTATTAGTGGCCCACAACCCAAACAAAACACTGCAAATAATAAACCTTTATGACAAATAAATTAAATGTGCACCAATATAATTATGTCATATTTCAATATTCTAACTGTTACTTAATTCAATAAAATGAATATAAAATTCATAATTTAATTTATAAGCTGTAGCACTCGGCTCACATAATATAGAAAACTTTAACAATATGAAATTACAATATTAAAATCTCAAATTCAGAAATAAAAGGTTATACAAATTGTATTCTGACATTATGACAATGCTAATAAAAGTTTGAATTATAATGCTTTATAATAATTTAAGGAATGTCAATAACCATTCAGCAGGCTTGAAATGAAATACAATGTAGTTCATTAATAATATAATATCTTCACAAATCACGTAATAATTATAATATTGGTGCATATATCAATCTGTTTCAACATTGCCACACACCGAGTCAATTTATAAATCCACTTTGTATACATGTATACATGTAATCCTATAAATCAATCCACTGGAACAAAAGTGATCAGTCTTTGCTGCCAATATAGACCCCAAGCTGGCCCGCACATCTGTGCAGTCTGACGCCAAGGTTTTAAACCTTGGGTAGCTCAATTTTTGTATTGTAACATGGAAACCCCTTAAACTCTGAATTGACTGTTCCAAATTCATTGCTGGGCAATTAAGTCAATTTATACAAATTTAGCAGTTTTAGTGTTAAATGCCGGTATATAAGAAATTGAATACCCTACACCTCTGACATATTTTTTTGTAACTTCATTTGTTTTTCCCTTACTATATTACAGACGTAATCAGTTTTCTTTATCTGACATTTCTCAAGGCCACAAACTATATTCATTGTTTTTATCTTCCTACATGCATACCTGCAATGCCATGTTTATTTGGTGATTAAAGTAGAATTGAAATTTAAGACATGCAGTACTGCAAAACAAAGCATATAATGACACTTAATCTTCAGGATCATTCATTTTAAGCTTTACACTGAACGAGAATTTCTCAAATATTATAAAACAATAGAACAATCGTTCAATACATCAAATGAAGTGTATAAAATTACGACTAAAATAAAGCTAAAAGGTTAAAAAAATGTGTGTCTTGTTTAGTGACTGCAAGCCAAAGGCATATTAATACACAATCACAGGGCATTTATTGGCTAAAATTGAGACTGTTTAATATAGGCAGTTTTTCAATTTTCAAGATTTCTCATATTTCCCAAAATGTCACAATTTAATTTCAATCAAGTGTAGAAGAAGACCTTTTCCCATTACAGCTAGAACTGGCTTTGATTTAACTACCCTTTTCATCTAGAAATGGCTTTGATTTTACTTTTAAAAAGGCCTTTATTTCACTGATTGTCTCCGCAGGGTGTTCCCCACTATTTCATTATTGCATGCAGGGGAAATGAAAGTAAAAAAGATAGTAAAATTGACTAGAAAGTGAGTATTTCTAAAATTATAATTTTGAATGTTTAAAATGGGTATCTGTGGACTAATGGATATTAGTTAGTTAAAATGAGTACCTGCTAATCTGTGGAGTAATGGATTGAAAACAAGTAAAAAAGCTATCTTTTGCACTATAAATATCAAACGTACATTATAATTATTCAAACTTACAATTTCCTCAATATGGGACATTGTGCAAAATCTTTTCTTACATAATAATATACATCCACTTGCTACATTGAATTTTGTGAAATTTAATCCACCAAACACTATGACATTCAAAAAGCATAAATTTATAGACTTGTTTGCTTTCATTCAAGCTTAAAAACTAAAAAAAAAAATCTATTGAAAATCAACCCTAAAGCTCCAGGAAGAACTAATCTCATTCAGCAAAAATGATTATATGTTAATAAATGTACAAGTTAGAAAACAGCATTATTTCAAGGTGGAATTACTTGTACACAAATATCACCTTTTTTTAAAGCAGCATGCCTCCAGATTCATGCGTTTAACTTTCATGAAAAATTTGAAAATGTATTTAAAAGTAAAATATTGTGAAAAGAACAAAGCAAGTTAAAACATTGCAAACTGCTTTAACACCAAAAAGAGGTCGAAATATGCAAAAATAGGCAGTAACGCTAAAAATAATTTTATAAAATACTTCAAAATCAGTCATCTAATCGAACATTAGATGAAAATTATTACAGTACCTGAATCTTGACTCTTATTATGTCTTTAAATCTTAGTACATTTTTCTAAAATTTGAATTTTTAAAAATATTGCAGCTCATCTGGAGGCATGCAGCTTTAAATATTTGTTTAAAAAATTGTTAAAATTAAAATTTACAACTTCAGGAATGACAGTCACATACATTTGAAAAAAAGTTTCTAGTACATAAAACTTAATCTCTTTTATTACATGTAACAGATTTTTTCTGGTTTGAATTTGGTACTGTACAATATTAACTTTTGTATTTAAATTAAATTATTCGAAAATCCAATAATATAGACCCTGTTTGCCCTATGAACAAGTTTCAGGACTGCCTGCTAAGGTAAGTAACTATTAAATGTACAAGTCTATTGATACTCTAGCCTCCTGCCCCAGTGAAATCAGCTGAATTTTAAACCTTCATCTGTCCCCACACAACTGGGTTAATGCAATGGGGAGTTGATTTTTTGTTTTTTCATGCCAAAATACCAGCAGTAATGTTAAACTTGAAGTGAGGGGATAATTAGCAGGGAATGTTTTAACACCTACCCCACAGTATGGAGCCTTTTTACTGACAGTTTAGTAATAAAAGGTCAATCCCTACCCCCTATACACCCCGCCCCCACTTTATTCCCCGTGGGTGTAGGAATGGCAGCAATTGACTGATATCTTAACAGTTTCTGCAAATGATACACAAAGTGGAAATGGTATGAACTTTGAAGACGACGAACATTTTCACAGAATGGAAAGTTATCAATATATGTAATGTTAGAAAAAACTTACCATTACTATTACATACATCTTGGGTATCAGTTGTATTGTTAATTGCACTACACACAGTTAAGATAAACATCAGGAAAATCAAGACTGAAATCATACATAGAACATGCTACAATCATTTCTACACATAATTAGACCTTGACCTACTTTTCCTCCAATGAAAACTTGACCTACTTTTTCATCCAATGAGATTCAATGCCTAAATTTGAAAATATCTGTCTTTTTCATATAAACTGTCCCAAAACGACTTTTTTTAACCTTTTTTGTTTCAAACATTGTTTCTATCTTGATAAACACTTCTCGTACCTAGGAAAAGTAGGTCAATGACTAAGTTAGTTAGTCGCTAGTAAAAAATTGAACATCTTAACCAGCTACAGCCTCTTCTTTGACATTTTTTTAGCTGTTTAAATTGTTCAATTTTTTCTTGTTTAAGCGTCTAACCATTTCACAATGCTACCAAATTATATATACATATCTACATATTGAATATAATACAAAAATATAACATATATACACAAGAGACACTGCCTAGCGGGGGCCATGCTCAACTTTTTCTTATTCCTTAAAAGTCAAACACATCATCGGAGGAAGAATACTGTCGCAAAGAATACTCCTAGAAAACATTATTTTCTTGTACAAAATATAACTCAAATTCATATTTGACATTGACAGTCAAGGTCATTCAAAGGTCAAGATCAAATTTGAATTAATCATCATGTCAGTTTTGTCAGAAATGTTCTTTTGTCCAAGAATGAATCAAATTCGTTCAAAAAAAATGTTTTAAGCAAATTTCACTAGCCAATTAATTTTTACCTTGATCTCTATTACACAAGATATTATATTGTGTAATTTATCATAACTTTTGAAAAAGAAAGAGTTAAGTTATTAAGAAGTCATTTAAAAAGTATAGAATTTTTGGTTCAGCAGACAATCCATTAAGAAATAAAAAAAATTATGACCAATATTGAAGTTTGTGGATCGCAACGGCAATAACAGGGTACAGACAACATGACTGTTCCATCACATGCCATTATAAACCAGAATGAAAAAAAAATATTAGTAATAAAATAATTAAATATATCCAAATAAGGGGAAAAGTAGACTTCCCATTTTCGAAGCAAAATTTGCAAATAAATTGTATGTTTTCAAGTGAAATATTTTGTTTTTTTTACAACTATTTTATGAATTTGAAGAAGGATTTTGAAATATTATATTACAACAGTAGATTTTTTTGGGTTGGGCTTTACGTTGTACCAGCACAGTATAGGTGATATGGCCACTTTCCAGCTTTACTGGAGGACCAAGACCTCACGGTGCCCTTCTGTACATTATTTTTGCCAAGAATTGGTAACTGAGTAGAACCATCAACGTCCATAAGTTAGCTGGATAGCTTTCTTCAATGAAAAAATCCAAAGTTCCTGTCGGGATTTGAACCCACAGTGGTAAGGGGCAAGTGGTTTGAAGTCACTAATCTTAACTACTAGGCTGTGGATGTCCCTACAACAGTAGATTTTCTGTTATCTTCTGGAGACATTGCTTTTTTAAATTTGTCCTCTGCTTCTACAGAACTGATATTAATGCAGCATAATTTACCCTCTTTTATGAAACATTAAAATGTAATTCTAATAGTTTCTCTACTTGTTATAGGGTTTGTAAGCCAACAGCATGGATTCTGATCAGACTGTGCGGATGCACAGGCTGGTCTGGATTCATGCTGGTCGCAAAACCATTATGTTGGTTTTGTCATGGCGCGGCTCAAATGTTTTCCTAGCTAAGTATATGTTAGTGTTCATCCATGCTGTTCTACAGAAATCAGAAACTTCGACAGAAGCAATAGCAACAGGAGAATAAAATGTTTCCATTTTCTGTAGAATAGCTACGGATGAATACTAACATACTTAGTGTCAAGCTTTATTTGGCCTCATTATTATTCACTTATTTACGTCACTATGCGGTACTACGACTATGAACAGAATTCAATATAGTATCGACTTTTGTTCTTCTACACACAATTTTTAAGAAATACAGCGTTTTCACCGGATGACAAATAAAGCTGGACACTAAACAGGTATCTAATAGGTGACAATAAGGGACAAATACAGATGGGCGGGAAGAAAATACTTTAAACCATTTTATAGCAGGTGATAATGACATTGCATAGTAAACGAAAAAACAATATGATTAAACATCTAAGAAAACATGTAACAAAATATGAAACATTAAAATAATTTAAAAAAAAAAAAATAATAATATTACCTTTCCCACAAAGATCCCCACAGCACAGACATTTGCACCTAGCATTGGTTGCTGTAAAAACTGTTGCCATGGTAACTAAAACCAGTACAAGTAGCATTCTACAATTTTCCTTAAAATGTGTCACTGGGCACCTAGCAGGAAATTTAAAATAAAACAAGTAATATTTTAGTTTTTTAAGTTTAAATACAGGTAATCAAAATGTTTGTTACCTTAGTGCAGTAACAGGTTATCTCCTATTAAATCTTAAAAGGAATTTACCTGTTACTGCGCTATATAGAGACAAAATCATTCTTTTACTATCTTGCCATTGATAAAATATTCAAAGATCATTGTATGAACATGATAAGGTGTCTCTGATTAAGTATTTACTTGGAAAGGAGGTGTAATAAATTCATCAACTACTGAATATATATTCTTGTTCCCGGCATCTAATAACAAGTATTAGCGTAGCAAAAGGGGAAGGAACTCCAGACTATTATAGATTTGTCAATAGATCCAATAAATTTATCAATTGCCCTTGTAAATGCATCAATTTCCTTATATAAATTCATCAACAGCTGTTTTTTTGTATATTATAAACGCTACATTCAAGTGACATTATGTCTAAATTTGGCGTCACTTGGACATCCAAATTAGCCTAAACAAACATCAGTGTTGAATACAGTGGTCAGTCATAGCTCTAAATGTTAAATGTAGAAATATGACGTCAAAACGGCCAGCAGGTTATTTATAAGCATGAAGTGGTTCAAATATGGTGAATAAAAGATCACAGTCTGGAAAGGATGAGAGAGAAAATGGTAAATTGACAAGACTTTACCGGAGCCAAATGACTTAGTAGGGGGAAAAAAATGTAGAGTTTGTCAAGATAAACGTTTATGCCATTACTGTTAACTTAATATCAAAATACAATATTATTGATTAAACTTAAATGAATAAATGAGCCATGCCATGACAAAACCAATATAATGCGTTTGCGACCAGCATGGATCCAGACCAGCCTGCGCATCCGCGCAGGCTGATCAGGATCCATGCTGTTCGCTTACCAACTCTATTACAAGTAGAGAAACTGATAGCAAACAGCATGGATCCTGATCAGACTGCGCAGATGCGCAGGCTGGTCTGGATCCATGCTGATCGCTAGCCCATTATGTTGGTTTTGTCGTGACACGGCTCAAATATAAAAATCACACTGTGTTTTTTTTATTTTAGGCTGAATATATACAACTTACCTTCTTGTGGCACTAAACTCATATACATGTAGCTCTTGATGATTATATCCTTTTTATATATCCTTGAGTCAGGCACTTAATATTCATGTTACTAGAATTAATTCGATAAAGTATGCACAAAGTCTTAAACAGAAGTCATAAAAAGTCTTAAACAAAGTACTTGAATAGAAGTCATTATTTAGTCTTAAAACACATGATATCAATGTCACAATAGCCAGATTATCATGACTCTTCAAACACTTTTTCGTTATCACACAGAATTCAACGCACTTGACTAAACTGGGAGTCCTCTTACATTACATCCAAAACCATCCTGCATGTTGAAACAAGAACTGTTAGCATGGCTATCTTTCCTTAATTTGTTCCAGATTTCAATATGTCAGCCAATTTCACAACCTTATTTCCCATTGACGTTTTTCCTGTCACTGAAGTTGAAAAATGTTAAACGCAATTTTAATTAATAGGCATGTAAAGGTCTTTTATATATAGTACTTGTACCATTGCTACCTTCTTTTGTTATAGCCCACTATAACGGGCATTCATAACCAATAAACTGTTAATAATAAAGTTGTTTACCCGCTCCTCAAATTACATTTTTTATTCTAACCGTAATGATATTGTTGCGTCATCTATAAATCAAGGTATCTTTTCTTGAGGTATATTATAACATTCTTCGGACAATTTAATGTATTACCGGCATGCCCAGTCTATTGTACATAATGCATTGTTTGCGGATTTTCTTCACTTAATATATTATAAGTTAACACTCTAGTGTTTAACATAATAATAATAATCATGTTTTGTTTGTATAATTGTGTTGTGGTTATGTTGTGTTGATGTTATGTGTTAGGTTATTTTATTGTTATAACATTATGTTGTAACATTATGTTATGTGTTGTGTTGTGTTTGGAGGTGTGGTGTTGTGTTAATGTCATGTAACATCACATCACACCACATTATATTATGTTTAAACATATTTTGCAAGTTTATAACATTACTTTGTTGACAATTTTAAAGATATTCAAATTTAAACAAACTTGGCCTATGACATTAATATTAATCTCGTTTTTGCTGATCTTTTAATTACTCTTGATAGAAAAAAATTGCAGGTTAGGGTGTTGAACCTGATTTCAGCCCCCATCCCACCCTATGGATCCAGGCTTTTGGAAACAAGTTGGTCAATGATTAAATATGGTCCTGTAACCTGGCAAAAAACTAATAATGTACTGGTTGGGGACCACCAAAACCGTACAACCACCAAACCCTGACAGCCCTGAAAATGCTTTATTTAGTTTTTTTGTTTGTTCAGTACTATCGGTCACATTTTTATTAACAATAAAGTTATGTTTCTTCTATAATTAAGTAATTATATTTTATTTCAACTTCCATAAACGGTAATATTTTAATGTCTATTACAAGACTGTTGACTTTGAAAATTTGGGCGTCAACAGTGCAATGCATGACTTCATATACCAGCTACATTCATTTGCAGAGTAAACGATAGTATATCCAAAACTTCAGCATCTACTGCTGAAATATTGTATATCATGTTAAAGATAAACAAGAGCACCGCTAGGCGGAGCTTTATATATGCCTAAAAGTGTTTTTTTGTTTTGTTTTTTTTTTTAGTAAGGATGAAGCATTTGTAAGACATTACATAAATTAAATAAAGTATTACTTCCTTCAAATAGCAATCATCCTAAGAAGTTTGAACATTATGGGCCAAATAGAAATTAAGTTATGTTCTGGAAACTGTGTTTAGTTTTAGAGTAATAGTGACATGGACCTTTGACCTTGTGCCCCAAAAATCAATAGGGGTCTTCTACCCAATATGGACAATCATCCCATGAAGTTTGAATATTGAGGGCCAAATAGACCTTTAGTTATGCTCCAGGAACTGTTTTCAGTTTTAAAGTAATAGTGACCTTGACCTTTGACCTTGTGACCCCAAAATCTAAAGAGGTCTTCTACCCAATATGGACAATCATCCTATGAAGTTTGAATATTGTGGGCCACATGGAACTTAAGTAATGCTCCAGAAACTGTTTTCAGTTTTAAAGTTATAGTGACCTTGAACTTTGACCTTGTGAACCCAAAATCAATAGGTGTCTTCTACACAATATGGACAATCATCCCATGAAGTTTGAATATTGTGGGCCAAATAGACCTTAAAATATATTCCGGAAACTGTTTTCAGTTTTAAAGTAATATTGACCTTGACCTTTGACCTTGTGACCCCAAAATCTAAAGAGGTCTTCTACCCAATATGGACAATCATCCTATGAAGTTTGAATTTTGTGGGCCACATGGAACTTAAGTAATGCTCCAGAAACTGTTTTCAGTTTTAAAGTTATAGTGACCTTGAACTTTGACCTTGTGAACCCAAAATCAATAGGTGTCTTCTACACAATATGGACAATCATCCCATGAAGTTTGAATATTGTGGGCCAAATAGACCTTAAAATATATTCCGGAAACTGTTTTCAGTTTTAAAGTAATATTGACCTTGACCTTTGACCTTGTGACCCCAAAATCACTAGAGGTCTTCTACCCAATATGGATAATCATCCTATGAAGTTTGACCACTGTGGGTCGAATGAAACTTAAGTTATGTTCCAGAAACTGTTTTCAGTTTTAAGATAAAAGTGACCTTGACCTTTGACCTTGTGACCCCAAAATCAATAGGGGTCTTCTACCTAATATGGACAATCATCCTATGAAGTTTGAATATTGTGAGCCACATGGAACTTAAGTTATGCTCCGGAAACTGTTTTCAGTTTTAAAGTAATAATGACCTTGACCTTGTGACCCCAAAATCAATAAGGGTCTTCTACCCAATATGGACAATCATCCTATGAAGTTTGAACACTGTGGGCCAAACAGAACTTAAGTTATGCTCCAGAAACTGTTTTCAGTTTTAAGGTGATAGTGACTGACCTTGTGACCCCAAAATCAATAGGGATCTTCTACCTAATATGAACAATCATCCTATGAAGTTTGAATATTGTGGGCCAAATAGAACTTAAGTTATGCTCCGGAAACCAAATTGCTAACGGACGGACGGACAGACGTACTCACAAAATGGTACATATGTGACTTCTCCTTCAATCTTTTTGACACATTAACTAAGGCTTAAAAAAAGACACACAAGTAAAAACGGAATGAATAGGATCAAAGAGAATTTACTGTTACCCATTGTTCTCCAAGTCACACAAGTACCTCTGGGTTCGTAAGGACAGACAGACAGACAGAGGGACGCCAGGGGGTGAACATAATATACCCGAAATTCTTTCTGGCATATAAAAATAAAACACCCAGGTTATCTGAATTAGATCACGTCATGTACATATCTGTCCAGACACATGGTACTTAATAGATCTGGCCTCCTTTATATGTCCCTTTTATTTTGACGTTGTGCGACAGTAAATAGGTCTAGCAGTACTGTAAAACCTTTTCGCTGAAGTTTCTTTCGCTAGGTAATGAAGTGTAGACAATTAAGGTAATTTTGATACCCTCCTTGAAGAGCATCAGATATAAGTATCAACATAATCAGAAATAAACAAACAAGTTTGTTAGTTAGGAGAAGAACCTAAACTGTACTGTGTCAAATTTTCATGTCTCTTGGTTTAAAATTATGAAATCTGTACAGTATGGTAAAATGTTCAAAAAGTGTCCGGTTGATGGTCTCTGACCAGTATATATATAGATCTACATAACATATATATGTATTTCAATACATAATATTCATTCATTTTTTGACAGTTCACTATGACTTATTTAACCCTTTCCCCCATGAGCATATTGTGAAAAAAGGCCATTTTCACTGAAAAGCCTCTTCTTACAAGTTCAAACTGCTATGAAACTATGAAAAATGCTTCAATACTAATCAAACTTGGCACAAATGTTGACTGGACCATTGCCTTTGTAACAACATGCTCAGTCTTAAATTTCCTGTTTCCTGGCAACGAGGGGACATCTCAAAATTGCCAAAAATCACTATTTTGCCTCGATTTTTTCCATCAAAATTTATTTCAAAGTGCTGCAACTTCACAAGGGATTGAGATAGAGTCAAAGGCTTTTCAGCCTTGGTTACACGTTACCTTATGATCGACCTGGGGTCATTTTAAGCCTCTCACAAGTCCAAAATTTTCTTGGCGATGAGGGGGACTCCGCCCCCCCCTTAAAACCCCCAAACAGAAGGGGGCACATCCCCCTTCTGCCAACCCCCTGATATATCTTTTGGATGGGGGGGGGGGTCGGCACCGAAAAAGTGCTCACTTTTTTTAGCAACATTTCTCAAACGAAAACATGTGTTTGGGGCCCAAATAGGACATTTTTTCACTATTTCAGGCCTAAAAAGGGGGGGGGGTCGAAAGTGCGTTGTTTCGCGTATATATGAGGTAAAGGGTTAACAAAAAATGATGAAAAACTTTGGAATCACCCAAAATCTAGTTTTTCCATGTTAACATTTGGTCTTTTACCTAATTTTGGTGAAAAATTGTTGTTTTGTAACATTTATAATTTTTTTAGTTACTTAGCTATTAGTTATAGTATTCATATTGAATCATTCTCACGATTTCATATAAGCAATATTTCTAATTTGGAAAATTGACAGATTAATTGTGTACAAAAAATGTGCAAGTATATTTCAAAATTATTTATCATTAAGGAATCTAACAATTTAAAAAAAAAATGATAATATTAAGTAATAATAAATTTACCAGATCAACAGAGTGATTTAAAATCCGATCGGTCATCTGGAAATTCCATTCTTTCTGTATTTCTTCTAAGAAATTTTAATAAAGCTGGAAACCACGTGAATAGACATTTTCAAAAATACTATTAATAGTATCTATGTAAACATACCAAAACAGGGAAAGTCCTACTTTCGATTTGATACCTGCCCTGACTAAAGTCTATATCTCCGGTATATATCTCTATACGGAGTTGGATTTTCATTCATATTGGAAATGGTCCGCAATAAATATGCAAAAGATATTAAATGATTTTAAATCGTTCAAAAAAAAACTAACAAAAGTCTTAGTAGGCCTATATGATTGCACGGATTAAAGTACGTGATGACTGGTACAGCCTTCCACATTCATTTTAGATCTTAAGTCTTAATCCAAATAAATGTTGTAAACGTTAAAATAAATCATGATCGAATTCCATATTTATTATTCCATTGATATTTTCCAAGGAAATAAAAATTTGAAAAGAATACATTATTAAACAGAAAATAAAACAGTAAACATTTATTTACCTGTTGAAGTGTTCTCACTTCTTTCTTCTTTTTGTATCATAGTTTGGAGACCTTTCTGTTGAAAATGTGTCAGGGTTAAATCGTATACATATACATGCACCGTGCGGTAACTGGAGTGCGGGTATTAGTTACCCGCACTCCAGAGCATGCCCATTGATTGGCTCATTTTTGCTGGGGTTTACATATTGTGACGGCAGTGAAAGTGAAATCGACAGAAATGTCATATTTAGATGCTCGTTCATTGGTTCATTTTTGCCGGGGTTTCATATTGTAACAACAGGGAACGTGCTTTTATGTTTGACTATGATACAAAAGAGAAAGAACGCCAAAACACTCGGTAATCTGATTAATACTCGGGGGGCTACGCCCCCTCGTACAAATCAGATAACCTCGTGTTTCAGTGCTCTTTCTATTACTTATTACAAAATTAATCAATTAATTGATTAATGAATATTCCGCCCATATTCAATTAATCAACACCACCATAATTCTAATTTTGTCTACGTTCTTAAACAATCTCCAATTTGGCAAAAATTCAATAAGGCTCGTCCAAAAAAATGCTATTCGCAAATACTTTTATTTTGATATATATAAGCTCTATATGCTATTTGTAAAACGTTTCATGTTATGTTCATAAACGGATGATCGTTTACAGACAGTTATACGTAAATAAAGAAGAAGAAACTCCGGTTTAAAAGTCTTTAATTTTAAGCTCATTATGAATTGATCGTTTGAATTAGCTTTTTACTCGTATCACACAACATAACCACTATTATAACATGACATCTCGGTTCCGTCGTTTATGCATTTACATTGTACTTGTCTTCGTGCGCCCTTAAAAGTCTTACATGTTAAGATATTACATGATTTAACTTACAATACCTACCCTTTTACGTAGGTTGCCTAAGTTTTTATGACTAATCCAACAAGTTAGATACCAGATAAACATGTATATAAACAAGCGTGTGAAAACATGTGCATTCTTTTCAATAGAGCGCAAAACATTTTTTTTATTCTGTATCTTTATGTATATTAACCAACACTTAATAAATAACTGTTGCAAGTATGTGACATTAACACATTGCGAGAATTATAAATATTCATGTAGTTTGCAGGATCAAGGTAAACAATCAATATTGATCGTATATACGTACATGCACATGTACAGTATAGTTATAAATGCAATATCAATTGGTATGTTAACTATTTTAAATCAGTTTATCCTTTGTAGTCTACACCTATATACAGGTAATAAATTAACTAAATTTTATGTACTATGTACACGACATTTTAATGCTATATTCTAATGAAGAAAAAAATGACCAAGATAGTTATATAACACATCGCTAAATTTGAAAAATTGCATATCATTCATGTAGGCATGTACTCTAACCTGAGGTGACTTTATACAGAAGGCGTTTTGAATACACGTAAACTTATTACATTGTATTAACAAAATTTTAATATCTTATGGTAAATGGACATCAGGTCGTCTTGTTTTCATTACAGGAGATTAAGAACAATAAAAAGAAAATACCTTAAATAAATTGTAATATCCGAAATCTATAAGTAGGCAATTAAATCCATTTTATAAAATGGTTAACTTTTAATAGCATGCGTTCACTATGAATACCCGGTGTCCTCTCATCCGGAACAGCTTTGTATAAACTTTAAAGGCACATTATGCCTCAGAAACGAATGCATTTTTCATGATTCTTTTAACAAACTCATGTTTGTCCTTTACAAACATGAGTTTGTTAAAAGAATGTTTTTAGAGGAAGTTAGATGGTTTTCTCATCTGAAGAATATGAAATTATGTGTCATAAAGGTGGCAAAACGTAAACAAAGTAGTATTTTGACTTCTATACAAAATTCTTAATCAGTAAAATATCATGACAGTATTAATTGCCAAAAGATGATTCAGTTAATTGACCAATGGGTAATTTACAGAAAACTCTAACAGGATACAAAAAAGGCTTTTTTAGAAATAGAAATTAAAGCATTTTTTGGATAATGGGCCTTTCAAAAGCTGTAGTCGACATAATCCTTCTCGCATATTTATTTATTTTATTCTATTTATTTATTTATTTATTTTTTTGTTGTTTATTTATTTATTTATTTACTTATTTATCTGGCCAGTTCAAACGTATAGAAATGTCGCAGTATTGAAAAAAAACAACATGTAAATCTGTCGAAGATATTTTCATTTTTAAAGTGAGCCATTGATGAATGCATTATACCGGGGTCGTTCTATTTGAAACCTGCAAGAAAAGACAATGATGATGGATTAGCTTTTGCAATGGCGTCCACTTCCAGCATATACTGCAAGTCCTGGGAGTTTGACCAGGTCATGCTCTTTTGGAAGCTCTTTTTTGTATTTTGATATCGAAGTCCTGTTAAACGGAGAGTTCCAAATTTAAAACAAGGGCGTGGCCGACTGGTTAATGCGTCGGACTTTGATTCTTAGGATTACTGGCAGCATGGGTTCAAACCCCGTGAGGGGCAAGCCGTTGCTTCCGTGAGCAAGAAATTTTACACTCTTGGCCTACTGGCTGGTTCCGGGAACGGATTCGAGAGTGTTTAATAAGCTTCCAACACAATGGAACTAAAATAGATTAGTATAAACTAAAACAGGGGCGATCGAAATCCAAATCACAAAAAAATAAGAAAGTTAAATGAAGAGGGAATATCTGTTTGAATATTTGTCAAGTCGGTGACATCAGGGTCATTTACTGTAACTGATGTACATATCTCATATTCATTTATACATACTTCATGACATTTCATGTAATCTGCAATCCTCTTCCCCAATACACCATCTATTCTTGTAGTGACTAGTCCGTTAATAATTCACCCAAAAGTCAGCAGATATCTTCTGTCGTCTGTGAGTCATTCATTTTACAAACAGCATGGTAGCTTGCCGGATAGGCAACTTAATATTTCGCCATTTGAAACCTACACCAAATAGAGTAGAGTTCAAGATTCAAAGGTTCTTCTGATCTTAATAAGTCTTTTAGATCACCTAAGCAAGACGCAATCATGGTGTCGAATGTCTGTCGTTGTTGTGCATTATTCAGTTCCTTACAGAACCAGTATTATATAGTGGCAGTTATGGAAAGTTAGATATTTGGCACATATAATTAACTAGCTAAGTTTCCCGTTTTTTCCATCAAGTGTAGGCTTATATATCTGACTTTATCTAATTAATGTTTGTTTATTAGATTTGAAATTGTCATAAATTTTCAAAAATAAGTGTATACGGAGAAAAGTTCGGAAATGCACCTTATTCACAAAACATAAACTCTGGGAAGACAAAAAAAATAAATCAAAAGCTGTACATAACCGATAGGGCGCTTCTAGTTCCTTTTAACGTATTCCTAGATGAAAATGTATCCTTGATAGATTTCAATGAAAGTTTTGTTTGTTCCTTTCGTATAGTACTTCAGTTAGCAGTAGGCAGTGAGCAGTAGGGTGTCCAGTTAACAATAGACAGTGAGCAGTAGGCTGTCGTTTATTGAATCCCGTACCAAACAACGTTTCAGTCTTCTGGCCAAATGACTGACCTATAAGTTATATCATGCATAATGCGTAGCGTTAATAAGGAGCTGATTTTAATCAGATTGTCTTCCGGTCCAAACTCTGGCAGCCATTTCAAAATCTTTTCTAGGTATACTATGAAGTCACTAAAATGTTGCAAAACCGAGGTATTGCCGCTATACAAATGTTCGACTTGAATGGTAGGACCTATCTTTGAGCACAGGCGCTAGTCACATAATCAAATATTTTACATAACCGGTCTATATATGTATATAAAGATATCTTATTATAGTATATAGCCCATATAAAACTTTAAAAAGTTTGTTTCAAGCACCTGTATCTTTGAGTCATCAGGAACAAAAGGAACGGTGAGGCAAATACGGACGGTAAGGCTAGACCGTATTCTGCAATAACGTATTGTCATGCAGAACTTCACATTGCGGGCCTTTATAGTTTGAAACAGAACTTTTGTCTTTTAGCCCAAAATTCATGTACCATAGACGCATTGTGCTATGACGTAATGTCGTGCAGAAATTTAACATTTATCAGACTTTGTTGAGGATCTTTCTATTATTAAATTTTTCTGGAGTTTTAAAAGAAACCTTCGCATAAAATTTACTGATATGCCTTTAGGTAAAGTAAACTGAATGCCGGAGGACGGTGACTATAATATGAGAAAATAGTGGCATATATTAATTCTTGCTTTGCATGGTCTTTTGGTAGACTTGTTGTTCAAATCTTTCGTTTTGACACAAAAATATGAATGTCTTGTTAACAGTGACAATTGCGGAAGACCGTGTGATGTGACCTGGAAACTGTTTTAACATCATTTCTGCACGTTAATTTATACATGCATGTTTTTTTTTCAGAAAGGGAATCCATCTAGCACAGATTTTTTTTATTTACATTTGTGAGTTATTTAAACTTTATAATGCTAAATAACGTAAACCCGAGTAGATATTTCTATCTTTTACTCTGGACAAAACCATTCATCGTTTTTAGAAGTTTTCAAAATAATTACTGGCTGAATAGCAAACTCCTCACAGCGGTTACGTCACGCTTTGCTACTTTAATTTTAGTTGTACAAACAATTCATTGAAGTTAAAACACGCACACATATCTTATACATATTTTTTTATTGTTCCATAATAATTTTTATGACACATTATCAAAATAAATTAAAAAGAGATCTCTAGTACAAACATGTATGAAACTTGTTCTTTCTTTAATGAAAGAATAACAAAAATTACAACAATCAATACGTAAAACATCTTGTATTATTTCAATTCAAAATCTACATGTATAATTATATGAATGACAAATGAATTTCTGTTTATGTCTGATTTTGAACGTATTCATGACCTTCAAGACGGTAAAAACTTATGATTTTTAAAACAATGATTATGTTATGGTATACTAGTCTACAAGTACAAATAAAAATTTTTGATAATACAACTGCAGACGTTTTTGTAAATCAATGATTTTTATATAATTCTAATTTAATAAATTTACATTACTTATAATTTTTAATAAACAATATCAAGTGGATATATCTAAAATTGTCACATTTTCCGTAATCATTTCAAAATAGAAATGTATAATTTAGATACAGGAGGTGTCCCTTTTTATCCTAGGGGCATTAGATATCCTTATTATAAATTAAACTTACATAAAATGTTGACAAAAACAACAACAGAAACGTCAGAAAAGCTCTAATTTATTCATTAGACTGAACATTTATATGATGAATAATAATATTTTGTTCTAGAACATATTATTATCTGTTATATAAATATATTTAATCTCACAATTGGCCAACATTTACTTCAATGTATAATATTTTTGTGGTTTGTTGTTATGTCTAATACAAAATACTACCTAGCTGATTATTCTTTGTATTACAGAATTTCCATTATAGACCAATTCACTTAAAAAAGAATGAGTATCTGGAACAGAATCTGATGATTTTCAATATACATTGTAGTATATACATGTACACTGAATATTCTAATACTGTTAAGTATACCAGGGTATATACATGTACATATGTATATTATTAGTTATACAGATTTTATTGACAGGTTATATGGCCTTATATGAATGGTTGTTTACATATATAACTGAGCTGTTAGGTAAGAGTTATATTGCAAATAATCGTCTATTTATGGCGTAATATCAACCTGTTAAAAAACTTTATAACAAACTTATAATACTGCAAACTGCTCACTTTTTTGTCAAAAAAAAGAAAAGAAAAAAAAGAAAAGGAAGTTTGCTGTATAATAAATTCATTACAAATATTCCTGACATGTTATATGATCACATAGAAATGATTGTTTGAAATATATTTCCAAATAACTGTTTATATAGGGCCATATAACCTGTCAAAAATCTTTATAAATAATAAAATAAAAAAAAATGCAGTATTATAATGTAATATATACACCCCTGAATATACTTATAATTTGTTGTATTTAGCTACTGATTCTCGATAAATCTGATAATTTTTCCAGATATCAATGAATTTCAAT